ACCTGCCGCTCCAAGCTCGGCCTGGCAGTTCTGTGCAGAGGCCTCCCAGAGCTGATGATGTGTTCTAAGCTCCTGCGCTAGGCGACACACACTCCGTCCTATCTACGCCCAGGGCTGCCTCTGTCTTCTCCTTCTGTTTAAGTGCAAAATGACCACCAGGCATACTCAGAGTTCATGAGCTGCCATTTCTTTAGGGAGAACAGGCATTAGCCACTGCTGCCTGTTAGAAAGTCCGTCTCATATACTTAAAGTAGAAAAGGCACTCAGCTTGAGCCAAAGCAGTCTCTTTCTAATGGGAAATACGTGACTTTCCTTCCCCCTCTTTCGTTGTGGGGTGTTTCCCAATCAAGGATCTCCTCCCAAGGCCTTCAATTCAGAAGCAGAGGCTGCATTTGCCTTGATTTTCACTCTATCAGCTCCATCTCATCGGCACAGACACACGCCTTAATGCCAGAGGGGAAGAGGAGGAATCCTATCTCAGGAATACAGGCAAGAATCCGGGGGCACTCCCAGTCCTCCTGGTCCCAACGCCAAGCGGAAGAGCCCTCAACAGCTTATTTGGTTCAGACTCCAACCCCAGAAAAACAAACAGCTCATATCACTTCGTTTTGGTCTTAACTAGCTTTAAATAGGTAATCTTAAGATCACCTAGCATGAGAATCTATCCAAAGCAAAGGAAGAGGCAGCATAGAGAAACTTGAGGCAAGGAAGAAATCCAAGTCAGCCCTATGCCAACCCAGGGCTGACTTCCAGGGCATTCATTTTACATGGGAAAAAACCTCCCGTTTCACGGACCCCGTATCGTTTTACCCTGGGCGGTGTGGTGCGGGCAAGAAGGGCCCGCCCCGGAGACAGCCGGCCTGGGGTCATTTTTGGGTTGTGTCCCTCTCTGCTCTGTGACTTAAGATAACTTAGCGGCTCTGTTCCTGTTTTTCTCATCACTACAGAGAAGACTGTTGGAAGGATCAGAGGCAAGGCCCTTGAAATGCCCGGCATGGTTCCTGACACACAGTAGGTGCTTTGTACCTGGTGGGCGTCACAATCCTGGCTCCTGCTTTACCCTTCACAGACTTTCAGGAGGAGGAGCAGAATTCACAGAAGAGAGCCACGAAGGGACTTCTTCCCGAAAACCACAGTAGGTGAGTCACCAACAGCCTGGGAAAGATTCTGCCAATGTGGGATTAATGAAATCAACCACAATTGTATTTCACTGACATCTGATGGAGACTACGGAGAAAGGACGTGGTTGAGGTAATCACCCTAAGAGACCTTCCTGTTGGCTCTCAGAACGGGCCTTCTCTTGGCCTCTTGCAGTCAGCTATTCTCAGGGCTGCCCTTTGCATCTCAAAATTATCCTCCAAATTTTTCGTTCTCATTCCACTTTGTTGCTTTCCACCCATGGCTGGAGCTGTTCACTGTTTGTACGGGTCAGGGGACCGTCCAAGCCATGACCCAGATGCCACGCCTGGCCCTAACCTCGGTGCCGTCCCTGGCTCCACTGTTGGGAAGAAAGTGCTTGTGTGTCATTGACTACGCGGACCGGGCATGGAGTCTAAAATTCGTGTGAGTGATTTTTGCACACTCATTTGACATAAACATAGGAGCCTTCAGACCCACTAAATTAAATAGGTGTTTAGATGTAATGTAGGCACTGGTAGCGACTGAGGGAGGAACAGATGGTAATTCATCTGTAATCGGGAGAACGAAAGGAAAAGAAACATCTTAAAACCTAGGGGGGTTCTCTTCCCCTCAGTTGCCCCCTCCCCGCCCCCTAAGCTGCCCCAGTACAAACATACACAGTACGGGACTTCCCCCTACACTGCCAGAAAATAACTCTGGGGGAAATGTAGCCATTCAAAGTGAATCTCGTAAACAAATGGTCCAATGAGACAGATTCACAGGTGTCATGCCTTGCCGGTCCAAAGCTCTATGCCTCAGGCGCACAAGCAAATCCTCAGTCCCCTGGTGAGACAGCTATGCCACCTCCATAGACAGGGACAGGGCTGATTTCCCAGTGTGACAATACCTTTCTCCTTCATTAAACAGAGAAAAATGAGAACATTTTACTAGAAACCCAAAACACAAAATATAAATTTTAAGTCCAGGCTCAGTCTAAATAATGGCTTGCACACACGCGCAAACAATGCCCTGCCTGCCGGCTTCTCCCCCCACCCCTGCCTGCATCCCCAGCATCCGGGCCTGGCTTCAATAGCAGCTTTGTAGCCCAGATGGCCAGCACCGCCATCCTAGGGACTCCCTGCTCCCGATAAAGACCGAGTGTGTGAGTGTCAGGGTGAGTGTCCACGCACGCGCGCAAGCCCCTCAGCCCTCATGTCATGTGTAGATCCAACGACCATCATTTTCAAAGCATGAGTCCAATGAAAATAGCATCTCAGATTTCTCCTTACAGATGCCCAGCCCAGCTTTCCAAACCTTGTATCTAAAGGCAGAAGAGACATACTCGCTTCTTCTGTAGCCAGAAGAATGATACTCTCGTGTATACACTGGGTGTAAGTGAACATGGAGTAACAGCGGGGATTAGAATCAAATGAAACACCCCCCTGGTATAATGCCTGCCCGCATAAAGTGAGTGTCTGGGTATCACCTACAACCCCTTCTTTCCACGCCAACCTCATCTGAAAATCCATGGCACACGAACCCACACCACCAGGCCGCCCCGCGGTGTCTGCCATGGAGGGTGTGGCCCGGCTCTGCCTGTCATTTGTTCCCACGGCCTCTGTGGTTGACGCAGGAGTCCCTCTTCTCCTTCCCCTCCCTAAACTCTGCCACCAGGGCTTCCGTGGCGAAGTCCCCATCAGTGTTCCCTTTTGTCCATTACTGCCTATCGCGTCCCAGGATGAGTCTCAAGCTCCCCTCAACGGCAAGCCCTCGCTTAACGTTGTCCCTAGGCCTCTGAGTGGAAGGACATATAAGGAAACGGGTTTTACTGAAGGCGAATTGCCGTAAACAAGAAGAGTTCTGTTCCTCCAGCCTATTTCTGGTCTCGAAAACATCACAGAACTTCTCAAGAAATACCCCAAAACCCTTCACATATCAAATAGTGAAATAAATGTTAGCTACACATGCATTTAAGGAAGATTAACACACACAAGTAAAATAATGCTTTTCCAGTCTGCTTATTCCAGGGAAGGGTCGCAGGTGGCTGGCGCCTCTCCCCATAGCGCAGGGCGCAGGCGGGAGGCGGCCCTGGCCAGGACGCCCTCCCATTGCAGGGCGCACTCACAGCCACACTCACTCAGACGGGGGCCATTGGGAAACGCCCTCCACCTCAGGGGCCGTCCCCAGGAGGGGGGTGGTGCGGGACAGGGGACGGCAGAGGTGACAGGACTGGAGTCCCAGGAGAAAACCCACGCAGGAAGAGGGGAAAATGGGAAGACCCCACAGACAGTGGCCCTGGTCAGGAATGGATTTCTTTTTTCCTCATCGACGACGTTATAACAAAACCAGCTGAATGAAACGATGTTCTTAGAGGACCTGCTATACTGACCTGGAGGTGATGGGGTGGGGTATTATTAGTTACAAAGTATCTGTTTATGTCTACCAGTAAGGGTTACTTTGGTCAAAAAAAAGAGCAGTTTTTCAAACTACTGGTATCTGGGAGGCCTAACCATATGTGAATCAATGTGTGAAGAGCATAAATATTTTTACAAATGAAATAGAAAATACCAGCATGCACTACGTACATGTACAAAGGGTTGGTACTAGTTCGTGAAACTTTCGTCAGAGTTACAAATGTACAGGTGAGGGTATTGATTGTGATAGAACATTAATTTCATAGGGTGGGTCGCAGTCCAAAAAGTTTGAAAGCCATTGGGATGGGGCCAAGGCACAGAGTCAGAAAGGCCTGGTCTCCTCCCAAGAAACTTACTTCCTGCATCTTGCTGGTTTATAACCCCTGACTATGGTCCCGCGACCCTGCTGGAACCCTGTCTTCTGCCCCGTCTGAATCCCTGTCGCGGGTGCTTACCATTTTTCATCCCACTGCATGACACCCACCAAGCTCTTCAGAATGGGGTCCACGCTCACCTGGAGGCCCAGGAAGGGAATTCCGGGAAGGAGAAGGTACGTATCGTTCACTAACACGCACTGCACATGCCGGCACCTCCGCTGCAGTTACGGACACGAAGACACACCTGTGTGTTCTTTAGCCCCAAAATCATGACCTCGGCTCTGCGGCCTCCAATAGCGATCACATAGCAGCTCGGGGAGTCAGCGGCCCCTCACGCGCCAGGACCAGCGGAGACGGGTCTCCGCTCGCTCACTTCTGACCCCCACGGAGCTCTCACCACGGAAACGCTCACTTCCTGACTGCGTGGCCCGGCTGAAGGCTCTGTGCCACGGCCCTACAATTCTCCAGACACCAACAGCCTACCTGAGCAGCCTTCCCCTTCCTTTAATCGGCCTCCAGCTTAGTCCCCCGATCCCATCCCCCTTCCTCCCCCCTGAATGCCGCCGGCGTTAATTCCTCAAAATAATGCGATCAGAGAAAGTGCCTTTGGCCGCTCGGAAAGTTGCCGTGCAGGGGGGACAGGTGGAGAGCGGGGCGCGAGGAACGGGGGTGTTAGGACACTCAGTTTCAGGAGTTAACCTGGAGGGCGGTCCTCCTCTTAAGTTGGGGGTGGGGGGAGCAGTTAGCCAAGCAATAAAATAAAACAAAAGCCAGCGTGTCCGGGGCCGCAAACAGGACCCTCTGTTGCTGGAGAAGCGCAAACAAGGCGGTGGGGCTGGGGCGCGGACTGTGAGCCGCTGAGAAGCGGCGGGACGGACCCGAGAGGGGGTCGGAGGGTGCCGGGAACAAAGCCCCGCGTCCCGCGCCGCGACCTCACCCGGGCCGTCCGCTCGCGCCGCAGGAGCCCCGCGGCGGGGTGGGGGTGCAGGTGCGTGGGTGCGCGCTCCGCACGCCCCTCCCCCGCCGCCTGTCCGCCCCGGTGTGGGGACGGCGACCCTCTCCCCGCCCTCGGTCCCCGAGAGGCTCTCACCCGAGCGGGGATCGAAGGTGACCACGAACACGGCCACCACCTGGTCCTCCTCCACGTCGCCCAGCTCCAGGCGCCCGGGCTGCAGCAGCACCTCGGAGGCGCCCAGCTCCTCGGTCTCCCGCCTCCTGCGCTGCTCCGCGGCCACCCGGCCGCCCCCGCCGCCGCCCCAGCCCCGGCCTCCAGCCTGCAGCTCCGGGGCCTGCGGCGGGGAGACGGCGGGGCCCTCGGCCCAGCGCAGCAGCGGCGCCGCGTCGCCTCGCTCCACCATGGCGAAGCGAGGAGGAGCCGCGGGCGGCGAGGGGCGGGCGCCGGGGCGGGCTGCGGAACTCGCCACGCCGGCCGGCCCCCGGGCCCCGCGCTCCCGCCGCCCGAGGCCCGCACCTGCCCCGTGCGGCCCCGCCCTGCCCCCGCCGCCCTCCCACCGGAGCAGGCGCCCTCCCAACAGGCTCCGCTGAACTGCGTGCCTGGTCTGAGCGTGGCTGGATGCCGGTGCGCGCTCGGGTGTGGGAAATGCGGGGTGACATGCCGCACACCCACCTGGATCTGTCTACCTGTGCCCGGGAGATGGTGCCGTCTCACCTAGGGATCCGTGACCCGTGGGATAACTGTATTACCGTGAATTTGTATAGGTCACTATTGTTTTTTAAAGCCCCTTGTCCTAGGGACCATGACAGATGTGCATTACATAATCCTGGGTAGTAACCGCTGTGCTGGGAAGTGAAACAGAAGAGGGAGCGTCGGCCGCCAGGTGCTGTTGGACTTCGGGTGGGGCCTGGGGTCCGGCCCGGAGAAGCGTGTCTGTAGGCCAGTCCAGCGAGCCCTGGCCTTCCTGGACCCCGCCTGGGGCACCCCATCCATTTCAGACTAAGTCTCCACAGCGGGTGGAGGACGGTGCCTTGTCTTTGAGGGGCAGGGGAAAGGTTGAACTAAATCTGTCTATGAGGAAGGCAGTTGCTATTCTTTGGGAGTAAAATGTTGCATAAGTAGATTCGTTATAGTTATGTCCTGGATGTTGGCCTCCAAGTAGCAGCCTAGGGCAGTCAGTCATCGCTTACCTCCTTGGGGAGAGGGGCTGGATCCTTGTGTCTCTGGCGCATCGGATAAGAATCCTGAGGAGCAGCCCCCCTGGGAACTCCCCAGCAGGAACCCACTGCCCCTCCCGGAGGGGGCAAGCTGCCCACCCTCCTGAATCCTGGATGAATCAGGTGTCTGAACAAGTCTCTCTCCCCATCATGTTCTTTCCCATTATTTTAGTAGCTATTCCTAGTTCTTATTTCTGCCTCCTCTGAAAGAGTGGTTTAGCCACCAGATTTATCCCAAGGGTTGAGGCATTCTAAATGTTAATGTAAAATACAAAATAGGGGTCCTAGAAAAGCCTTACTTTCCCAAGCTGTCAGCTTTCGGTCTGACTTTGCTCCTTGTCCCCTGAGGGACTTCCGATCCCTGATCTTCTGGGTGAACCCTGCCTTGCCCTGACACACTCCAGCTTCACATCCTCAAGCTACGTCTGCCCCAGGAAACAAACTCACAGTACCTGCCCCCATCAGTTTTCTATATACACAGAAGACCAAACCCTAAACCTCGTGCCTTTTCCAGTCTTCACTGGTGGTGTGGGTCCTAGCTCCCCAGCCACCAGGCCTGTCTTCAACTTAATAGCCTAAGAGGTGTCGCTCTGTTGGCTGGGCATCGTTCTGAACAGAGCCAAGCGAAGCGAACGGTTGCTGGTTCCATTCCTGGTTGGGCACTTCCGCAACCGATGATGTTCCTCCTCCTCTCTTTCTTTCTCCCTTCCCCTCTAAAAATAAATAACATGTTAATGATGGCGATGACACCCCTCTTAACACATTCACGGTCTGATCATCAGAATCATCTCTGTCGACTGAATTTCACAAGATGATAGGAAGGGAACTCATTGAACTTAGTCATCAGAATAGCTCTCGTGGGAAAGGCACGTGAAGGGCAAGAAGGCATGAAAGGCAATCAACTCAGAGACCCTAGGATCATGTCACAGTTTTCAATGAGTTCCTCGAAAACGCCATATGTCGAAAGTTTGGAATAAAATTACTTTCGCTTTCCAAATACTAAATATATCTTCATTTTATAAAATACATTACATAAACTATATCCACATTATCTAAATATGTCTGCAATATATAAAAACATAATGTGTATATAAAATATGTTACATAAAAGTATTTTTGATCTGTACTCTCACCACCGAATTGGCCCCTGTTGAGATTTTGCTTATCCTCTTCCCTCAAGTCTAGGATGCAGAATTTTCACTTGTTCACATTGCTATGGTGACTCATAATTGCCACCAGCCTCACTGAGGTCCAGCTCCCACGGGGATTTGTGTTTGCTTTTGTCAGCCATCTGGAGGCACCACCAACCCAAGACTATTTTGAGTTAGATTCTATCCTTGCAGGTCTTTGAATAGCGCTGGTAGTATGAATTTAAGATGCAAGCTGAGGTGATCCTGGATTATAGTTCAAGTTCTTAGAGGAGGTTTGTTCTCCGTCCACTCAATGGCAAGGTGCAGACAAGCACGTTTCCATGCCTGGCCCTCTCCGCATGGGAGATTCATGTGTCACAGTCCTATCGAGGGTATCATTTTAGACTCCTCATCTTGAGCATTTTTTATTCTTAAAATAGAGGATAGATTTACATGTTTTTCTTTTCTATATTTACATGGAGAAACCATACTGCATATTGATTTTTTATTTTTATTCATTTTTTCTTAAAAGATTTTCTTTACTTATTTTTAGAGGGAGAAAGAGAGGGAGAGAAACATTGATGTGTGAGAGATACATCGACCTGTTGCCTCTCGCACGCCCCCAGCTGGGGACCTGGCCCGCAACCTAGGCTTGTGCACTGACTGGGAATCAAACCAGTGACCCTTTGGTTTACAGGCCAGCACTCAATCCACTGAGCCACACCAGCCAGAACTGTATTTTTATTCTTTAGCATAAGAACGCAACCATTTGCCATCCTATTAGAACTTTTTATGTATATCATTTTAATGGTTTCCATTATCTGTATGTGTGAAATTATATTTAACCGTTCAAACTCGTTGGAAGAGCAAGCCCTTCCCTTTTTTTGTTGTGCCCAAAGCACTGGCCGAATTCCACTCTGAACCAGCATTAGGTGCCTATTATATGCCAAGCCCTGCTGTGAAGAAGGCAGATACCCCTCCTCGTCAGGCTTACAGCCTAGCAGGGAAGGCAGCTGGCAGGCAAGGAATGAAATCTAGAATGAGGGGCAACAGGCAGGGCAAATGCAATCCGCCATTGAAGCTGCTGGCTATTACAGATCGCCGGCGATGGGAACCTGGGTTAAGCTGTGTGCATGTTCTTAAGGTTCTCCATTGCACTGACAACTTGTTGACTTACAAGTGTGCAAGGGCATCAATTTCTTTTCACTCTCGTGTGAGTGAGATATTGCCATTTGAAATACTTTTTGCCAATTTTTCAGATGAAAATGACATTTTGTGTTAGGATGATGTGTGACTGAACCTAACTGTGGCATCAGAGTGCATGCTGGCGATGTGTGTTTCCTCCTCCGTGAACTGTCTGTTTATGCTCACTTCTCCCGTGGGGTCTGTGTGCTCTTGTCATCAATTTGCATGACTTCTGTAGGCGCTAAGAATAGTCATTTCTGGTTTGGCATAATTTTTGTTAATATCATTTCCAATTTATTGTGTGGTTTCAATGCTGCTTAATTGCATAACAAAATATTAAAGTTCTAAATTTTATGTAGTCAAACTTAACAATTCTTTTGGTGATTCCTTATGCTGCTTTGACATTTAGAAAGTTGGCTCTCACCCAGAAATCTGATCAACCTTCAATTTTATTTTCTTCTAGTTACTTAGAGAATGATTTTCCTCATTTGATCTCTTAATCTAAATATTTATATTGATAATGTGATATGAAGTGAGACTCTAAAATGTTTTTAGTGAATAGTTAACCAATAATTGCTACATCACTTATTAAATAAATCTTTCATGTCCTATGATGATAGTTCCCCTTTAAAGTACAATATTAAATTACTGATATTTACTAATCTATGTCTTATTCACCATTGACCTGCCTATTCTTATACTGGTACCACACTAATTGTATGTACATAAAATAATATGCATGGCCCTGGCCAGGTGGCTCAGTTGGTTGGAGCATAATCCCGTAAACCCCAAAGTTGAGGGTTTGAGTCCCAGATTCCCAGTCAGGGTACATGCCTAGGTTGCAGGTGTTCAGTCCCTGGTTGGGGCACATTTTGGGGCGGGGCAACCTGTGGGATTGCCCCACCCCCTTCTTCTCTCTCTCCTCACTCCCTCCTTTCCTCTTTAAAATCAATAAATATATCCACGGGTAAGGATCAAAAAAATAATATGCATATATAATTTAAAGTTTTATTTCTGGGAGAGGTAGTCTCTTCTAGTCCTTAAAAAACTCTGCTATTTTCTTTGACAATTATTTTTCCTTGTGAAATTTAAATTACTTTATCCCGTTTCCAAAAAAAAAAAAGTGAGACTTTTTCCATTCAAATGGCACAAGATTGAAGCATTTACTGGGGATAGATGAACACCTTGATACAGCTGAGCCCCTTCATCCTGCCAGGACCGACCTGCCTCGCAGGGAAGGACCAGGTTACTCCGCCCCCAGGGTCAATCCGCATCAGTAGCCAACCAGTGCAAGGCCTAGTGAGGAGTTCAGATTATGGGACAAGCTGAGATGTCACAGGGTGCAATTGAGAATGTGAGCGGAGGAGATGAAGAAAATGATCTGATGATCTGAGGACTGTCTACGCCCCTGCCTGACCTGGGGATGTTAAGTCCCGCAGTTGGATAATGAGGACCCACCGCCATCCGGAGACATCGGGGGTTTCCGATCTGTTCAGACTCCCAACTCCCTGACCTTTATTTCATACATCAGACTGCGCTCACTCCCAGGTCAGCCCAGTCTGCACTGACGGTCCCCTTCACTCCACCCAGGTCATCTGGGCTGCGGGCACTTGGTGACACGCCCCAAGTCCAAAGGACAGTAAATGACACGCCTCAGAGACTGAACTCAGGTTGGCATAGGGATTAATAAAATAGAGTGTATATTCGAAGTTCCTGAGGGTTTTAAAACCGACATATCCCTGCCTCTCGGGCCTCTGACGTTTGCATTGGAGTTGAAAATCAAAAATCTGAAAACCCATAAAAGATGTCCCTGCTCCAGTAGTGATCACTGTGAGGGCCCACAGAATGCATAGCAGGCACCTCGATTCATAGCGCCTACTACATGTCAAGCCCTGTTCCGGGTAATGGAAATAGAACATCGAACAAGAGTTAAACCCCTGCTCTCATGGAATTTAGATTCTATTGGGGGTGAGATGGGGGAGACGCACTTTTTAAAATGAACCACTAAATATGTAATATATGATGTAGCCGTAAGGGCTGTGAAGTAGTGTGACGCAGGGTAGGGGCCAGAGGAGGGGAGATAGGGAGTGGGAGGGGGGCTGGAAAGACCGTGGAGGAGACACCTGGAGGGAGCCCAGGAGTGGAGCCTGCGGGGAAGGGTGGAGGGGCAGTAGGGAGTCTAGAGCAGAATGTGTGCGGGGAATGGCAGGGGTCAGACAGTTGTGGGATGGAACCGAAGGCCTGTGGGCCTTGGTACAGGGGCTTGGGGATCTGAGGACAGGGTCCTTTACAACGGGATCCCTTTGGCTACTGGCTGGAGAGCAGGCCGCAGGGAGGGCTGGGGAAGCAGGTAGGGAATGGGGAACGGGTGGGAGGTGGGCAGGTGGACTGGGGAAGAGAGAGAAACGGAAAGACTATCAAGAGAAGGGAAGTTAAATTTGCTTCAATCAAGATCAAACTCATCCTCAGGGCCTCTCTCTGGACTCACATTTATGACAGAAACAGTCCCTAGTATTTGGTAAGTCCTGAGTCTATCCCGAGGGCACGGAGGGGCCGTGCTGTATCATTTTCCTTTTTTATGGACTGCCTTTCACATGCAGTTCTCATAAAGTGACCAGGTGGGTGGTTTTTTCTTCAAAGAGTTTTTAACCCTTCCCCTGAGGGCCTCTCTGAGAAAGAAACTGACTCACAAGCGCTAAAGGTCCCCAAGCAGTAAGGAAACACGTTTTCCACAATAAGGCACCAGGGGCCAGAGTAATTGCTGTTTTCAGGCGATACCTATCTGCTTGTTACTGATCTTTCTAGTTTTTCTTTTGTCAGTTTGAAAATTTCTGCGATTCCTTAAAAGCCTCAACTGTCCATACCTGGAGGCGGGCAGGGTGAGTTGGGGGCAAGGGCGGCTGAATTAAGGCAGGTGTGTTTGGCAAAGATCTAAGGTGTGTCTCTATCTGGATGATGAACTCCAGCCTCGGTGTATTAGAGGCTGTTTAAAGATCATTATTACATCCAAACAATGCTGAATTCTGATTAACTTTTCTTAGCCTTTGGGAGGGTGGGGAGTGGAAGAGAGGAGAGGGTGAGATTTCTAAATCGTGAGTGTAAAAGAGCAAAAATAATTTCTTTTCAATAATGAGTTTGTTCCCAAATTGGCTAATTGGTATTTTTAAAGCTATGCTAAATGAAAGGAACCCACTATCTCACTAGCATTTTGTAGCCCATGGGTTCAGGGAGACTGTGCGTATCTAGAAGAGTTTTAATATAACTTGGATTTAACTGCTCAAAGAGTTGCTGGTGCTTTCTTTAATCAGAATGGAAATAAGGACAAGCTGTGAGCGTCCAGGCAAGTGGTACTTAAGGGGGAGAACGCCGGGCACCTCCCAGCTGCGGTAGGAGGGCAGAGGGAAAGGCGAGCGGGCCTGGGGCCCTGGGCCTCGCTGGCTGCAGGTCCCCTCCTTACGCCTGCACCTCCTCACTGCTCCCCTCTGCCAGGCCTCTGGCCTGGTCATAGAGCTCTGGCTGAGATGGACGACAACAGTATTAATAAAGAATTAAAGCAGAAATTAAACTTCTCCTGTTGTGAAGATGAGAGTGAGAATGAAGAACTGTGGGAAGTCCAGAGCCACACCCCAGGGAAGCCTGAAGCTGCGGGCTCAGGGGCCAAGTTTACACCTCCCAGGACATCCTGTAGTGAAGTTCGAGAACTCACATTTCAGGACAGAGGCAAAATGAGTCCAGACCCTGCTTTGAGGACCCTGGTGTCAGAACCTCTCACGTGCCCTGCCACACCAGCCCAGCCCGATGACAGGTACAAGCTGCTATCCTGTGAGAGTCCCTTCACTCCCAAAGTGAGTAAGTTGTGGGGGAGACGGACCCAGGTTCCTTCAGTTCAGCTGATAGAGAAAAAGGACTCGGTCCTTTTTGTGTATACGATGCATTTGCCTCCCAGGCACTTATCGCCAATTATGTTTTTATTGGTGAACATGAAGAAGAGTTTAAAGTTATCAGAAAACAGAGTTAAGTGCTTTGCCACTTGTCTTCTCAAAACCACTGGTGCCAGCGACTCTTTGGTGGAGGCCACCAATGAATGTTGGGTGGGGAAAAAGTTCCTCGTTAAAGAGCTTCGGCACTGGCAGGAACACTGAGATCCGGAGCCCAGGCCCCGCACACTGCACAGGAGAAATTCAAGGTCTCTGCTGATAACCTGGCTTTCTGCTGGGCCAATGGCAGAGACAGGCCTAGAAACCTGATCTTTCGGTCTTAGGCTATTCTTTCCATTACGCCAACTGGCTCTATTTTTATGTGATTATTTACTAATGTTTCCTCATATTGGAATGTTCCCACTCTCTGTTTGAACATAGTCCTGTCTTCTTGCTGCTGCTCTTCCCAGAAGGAAGGCCCCTCCTCTCCTGGGCCTTGTCAAGTTCAGGCTCTTCTATTATATGTGAGCGAAGAGGTGACCTGTTGACACTTCTGTACAAGCTGAGGGTTGCACATCAGTAAAGGTCCCCAGTAGTTAGCATATTCCTTTATTCTTGTCGCAGCTGGTCTCCTGCTACACCTTTCATATGAGTCATTAAAGCCAGGGCTGGGGCAGGGTTGCCTCTAATGGACTGGTATGCCGTGTGCGGGCCTGAGCGTTGGTATGAGCTCGGCTTTCTGCTGGCTCAGCTTGAAGTACTTAAGATCATCATAGGAACATCTGCGCCTCTGATGGCAGCACAGTCACTGTCTGCAGATCTCTTTAGTGCCTGCTGAGTATGGGCATCACATCTACAGGAAATACTAAGCTTCTTTTCTGAGCTGTAAACAAACCACTCTAATACGCTCATGTGTCCATCTGTGGGTTTTTCAAAGGTCCCCAAACCCATCAATCGCCCACTGAAATTTTTGAGAATCCACTGTGGGCAAGGAGCATAAGACACAGAGTCTGGGAGAGACGAGATGTGTCTACGGACACCAGGTGATAGGTGCTTCAAGAGTGGTCAGAGTTCTCTGGGTGGACTGCTTCTCAGGACAGGAATAAAGGTGAAGGAAGTGTGTGAAGGTTAATGAGAGCTGGTATGGCTTTGACACAGAGAGAGTAGGAGGAGAGAGGGCTGAGAGAATGTGGCACTGAACGAAAGTACACAAGCAAGAAAATAAGACATGGTATGTATATTTCATTCATTTGTTTAAAAAACTTAACACCTTGACATGCTAGCTGACCCTCTGCTGCAACACCCATCTGCTGCCTTCAAAAAGTGCCCCCCCCAAATGGAGATAGACACCACCTGAAACAATCATTAAAGTTCCAATCAGCTATGCTGGAGGAGTGGTACCCAGGATGAGAAGGCGTTGGGAATTAAGTCTCAGGATATCAGAGAAGCCTTGCCAAAGGAAGCGCTGTTTGAGGGAAGTCTTAGAGAATGAGTTGGAGTTCACCTGGCAAAGAAGGGACGGAGAACTTGAGGTCAAGGGAAAAGCATCTACCAAATCGCGGAAGAGATGGATCGTGCTGCCCTGGAAAACTGCGTGTTGCTCTGTGTGCCAACGAGCCTGTAAGGGAGAGGGGGCAGGCAGCGAGGCCTGAGTCGGTAGGCAGGAGCTAGGTCAATATTTCATCCTAAACATGTTGAGAGGGGCATTAAATGGTTTTGAGCAGAGGCGTGGTGGAAAAGTCACGACCTTCACAGGAAGGCTGGAATGGAGCAGGAGAGATCTGCAGGTTGGGCGGTGTTCATGGTAGATCTGCTGAGAAAGGAGAAGAGCCCGGATTACAATAGTGATAAATGGAGAGATGTTTAGGAATTGGTAACCGCCTTGATGGAGGGGTTGAGGGGGAAAGAGAGGTGCAGTCAGGCCTCTTGCTTGTTACCTTGAATCAAGACGGGTGGCCCAGGAGGAGCCCAGGTTTGGCAAAAGCAAAGAGGCCGTGTACATAATGGGATAAATGTGTCTGAGTACAGGAAAACGATATATTGGAGATCTATATATGCACTTGGGAATGGATAAGCTCATGTGGCCTGACCAAGAAGAGAAGCGGTTCAAGCTAAGAGTCTTGGATAATGCCCAGATTTGAAGGACAGGAAGAGATGAGAGTTTGGGAGGGAAACTGGAAATTCAACTGGGAAAGTACATACTTTATGAAGAATAGGGTTTGGATCAGGGTCAGAGGAGAGAGGCCAGGGCAATGATAATTGGAGACGTTATGCCCAAGACAAGGATGCTGAGGAAAGGAATGCTGTTTAGTTCAGCCTTGCCCAAGGGATAGGACCAGAAATCATGTGAAATGAGTTCTGACACCATCAGGACTTCCTAGCAGGATGGAGACAGAGACAGAAGAGCTTCCGTAGGAGGCAGTAAGGCCCCTCCTTAGTAAGGCTAAATGACCACTTGGCAGATATGTAGAGGGGATTCAAGCATCAGGGGCTAATGGTACCAGCTGGGCGTTTCACGTTTTTCCCAGTCCCAAGACACTGTGGTGTTGGGCCATGGGGGGAGGTTGTCACCTCCTCCCACCATTTCAGAAGTCAGGGTGCTATTCCCCAAGTTTCCCTTTTTTCTTTTAACCCTCCATAACAGAGCTGCTACTTATGGAGTTAGCTATCCTGTCTGGAGCATATTTATACTTTCAACCTGGTCATCTTTCCAGAAGTTTCCAATCTCCTTTACTTCTATGAAATTCCTCTCATAAATCTTATTCCAAACTACGTTCATGTAGGTTTCAAAAGGATTACTCATAACTCTGCCATTCTGGCAATATAACCCATATTAATAAAACTAATGTCTTTCCCTAAATTTTAAGTGAAGATCACAAAATCTATCAGCGATCACATTTCCATACTAGGGATTCTCAGAACGTCTGCACAGACATGAATGCTTTTCCTTCCCTATTTATGTGAAAATGCCCAGACCCTATTTGTTGTCCCTGAGGCGTGGCAGCCACAGCTCTGTGCAGCCTCCAGGTGAGGACGCCTCCCTGTTTCATACAGGATAGATGTGTTTTACTTTCCATGTGATGATCAGGAAAAAAAAAAAATTTCTCAGGGAATGGTTTACTCTAATTCTAAATTCATTTCCTGAATCACATGGACAACTGAGAAATATTATACAGTTGTACTTCTTGTGAACCGATACTCGGCGCTATAATACATGAACAGGAAGATTGTTTGTCATTGATGGCTGTCTCTGACAGTCACCCCCAGCTTGGTCATCCTCTGAACGTAGACATATGTAAAACCCTTGTGTAAACTTCACTCCGGCAACGATATCTTTTTCTTCATTAAAAAAGTTAGGTGTTTTTAAATGAAGATAAAGATAATGTTTGCTCTATAGCTTCCTTCGTGTCTGCCGGTAGCAATCATTTAGTATGTCCAAATTTAATACTCATTTTTTTCGTAGCCTCATGTTCTTTGCATTTGTGTAAATGTCGTCATGCAGTGACTCATATTGTAACCCACCTTCTGCTTCTACACCTACAAGTCACGGGCAGGGACTCTGAGAAGTGCAGGGATCTTTTAGAAACAGCCTCACGCACATCAGGGCCCCGTGTCTGCCGTGTGCTCTTGGGGACCTGTCCTTGGGCCCCTGACATTTAGGTCGTGCTAGCACCCTGCTGTCTCATCGGGGCTCTGTGTCTCTGACCTCTCCCCTCTGCTTCGTGGTTTAGCTCTGGTGAGGTCTCAGGCCTGTGTTCCTTCCTGTCACCTGCTTGTAGTGCTAGATCCGGCACGTTTTTCTGTTTCATGGTATCTTAGTTACAGCCACTGCAGAGCCTTAAAGTAGAAGGGTTTAGAGTGTTGTTCTCAGGTATTTTTTTGTGTTTTTTGTTTTTTTGTTTTGTTTTTTTTTACCCCAGTTTATTTCGCGTCGACATGATAAGGGGAATTGGATATTTCTTCTTCCATGTTTACTCTATGGAATCTTTCCCTTACAAAGTGATTATTTCTGAAATACCAATGAACCACTGCCTAATGGACTGTTCATCCCTGAAGAGCTGGAATCCACCAGGGCTCCCCTCCCAGCAGCCAGCCCCGCATCAGCTACTTAGCAGGCGCCAAGCACATATTTTGATGGGTACCTGAGGGGAAGTTAAGAGTATACAGTCTAAGAACATAACAACCAGGTCTCCTAAAGTCATTTTCGTTTGTCTAAGCTTAAAAGTCACCTTTAAAAAGTTGCAGGTTGGCCTGGCTTTGGCAGTTTTCCAAGCTGTCTGCCAGATCTGCCCCAGCACAGACCAGGGAGCATAAAAAAGTACAGATTCTTGTGTTGGGCCCACGATCAGACTATCAAGAGGTAGACTGGGAATCTGCCTTTTTATCAGAGGACTAGTTATGAAGTGACTAGTTTACACTGAACCGGATAATCTGTAAGGCCCCTTTTAACAATGACTGTTTCAAGTATTTACTAGCTAACTGAGATGGAACTTTTTTTTTAACCCCTTCATGATTTGCCTTTTGTCTTCCTCACCCAGGGCCAGCTGAGCCAGCCCGCGATTGCTTCAATGGGGAAGCTGCCCTCCCGGGGCTCTAAGCACTTCAGACTCACCCCTGCTTCCTTCACAGGTGAAATGACCTCATCAGCTCTGGTTAATATTAATCCCTTCACCCCAGAGTCCTATAGAAAGCAAGTCCTTCAGTCCAGAGGCAAGAGGAAAACCCAAGGAGATCTGTAAGTATACTGTGGCCTGCGACTTTCGAGAACTGACCTTACGACAGTCGAGAGGAAGGGGGAGTGTTCAAGTGAGATTAGGAACAAGAACCCTGTTAGAGTGCAATTGGCATGGGTTCCATAGCCCCTCCTTCCGAAATGTCACCGTTGGTTCCCGCGTGCTTTGTGCTTTGTCGCAGAGGCTCCAGCATCTTCCCATTCTGAGCTGTGCTGTACGGTGCCTTCTCTATTAAAGGGCAGTGCTGAGTAAGCAATAGACCTCTGACTTCCATTGTGAAGTTAATGGGCTATGGAATTGCCTTCAAGGGGTCGCCTCTGGTGAATAGAAGGTCAGCAGTTGGGGAAGAAGTAGTTCACACTTCAAAGAATATATTCTGTTTCTAGTCCGGCTTGTCTGACTGGTGATGAGGGCTGTGGGGCAAGGATTTGAACTTCTCTGCAGGTGATGGAAGATGGGCTGAAGAGAAGGAGACAGTGTTGCTTTCAAAAGTGCTAAAAATGGAAAGCCAACGGCACTATCGTGTGTATTCCTTGGGGGCATTTCTTTACTATGTCTCTCCAAGGCTGCTTTTGTATAGAATGGAACCACCTCTGAAATGAGCCAGTCATTTGTGCTGATATGAACTCAGCAAAATAATGCACTGCTAACAATCTGAAATTTTCAGAGCATTTAATGTGTTACCTTGAGTTGTTTCTTTTGGGATCAATGACTACATATTAAAAAGCCTTGGGCCCAGAATAGGTTTTCTTGACATTGCCTTCTGGATCTTAAGTAAACAGACTCCAGCGCAAGTAAACCGCCCACTCTTGTTACCAAGAATTCTCTTGGTTTTAGCTGTTTAGGGTTATTTATAAACCATCAGAATGAATGTTTTCACCTCTCACTGAAGCTAGCTGGACTAGACCGTTAATCTGAATTCCTGGCAACGAAATTGGTGACAGTTTGGTAACGTCACCTAGTACTTCTGAGAGGGTATTTTTCTTATTTATTGTGTTACTTCATGAAGTTTAGAATGAAATGTTATATATTTAAGTCACGAATGTCAAGCATCCATTTATTTCCACTGGTGTGATGCCCTCCACTTGCCAATAGTACCCATCCTTCTCCAGAAGAAAAATCAATAGCTTGGCTGATCTAGAAATTAAAATCTTGCACAAAGGGTGTTTGTCAGAGACTTCAGCTCATTGAGAAGTAATTGGCCGTATCTTAGCCTGGGTTAGAGCTCCTTCTGCTATGCTAACAGCTTACCCATGGACCTCCCTCACACAGAGCCTGGGTCTGGGGGAGGCGGATGTTGGAAGGCGAATGTGCCAGGGGGCGGTGAAGACCACCGGCAGTTTCAGCGTGTTCTGTGGCTTTCCTGCCCCCAGGTCTCTGTAGATATCCCATTTGCCTAAAACCCCTCCTGTCTCTGGTTCCTACTCATTCTTGGAATCCTACTCAATCTTGAAAATCCTCTCTTTTGGGAAAGACTTTTACTCTTGAAATAATTAATTGGGCACTGTCTACAGTATCCCTTAACGTCTTGTTCTTATCATCACCTAGGTTCTTACACTGAAATTTTCTGTTTTCTCTGTCCCCAAATATAAACTGAAGATGCAAAGGAATTGTCTCATCTACTCATATAGAACCCAGAATAGTACGAGGATCAGTAAGTGCTAATCGTATATTGATATATTTTTTTTTTCAAGTGAGGAGGCCGGTCCAGGGGAAGGCAAGGCAGAGCAAGGGCTGCCTGCCAAGGTGAGCATGTTCTCTGTTCTCAGGCCCAGCTGCAGTAACAGCCATCTCACGCTCCTCCCTCTCTCCCTCTCCCTCCCTCCCTCCTCCCCTTCTTCACTCTTCCCACTCCCAAGGCACTGTAGCAAATGTGCCCTGCGGCTGACTTTATTTGGACTCTCATCAGGGCCTATATTACTACCTAGTTGTTGCTTTACCTGATAGTGTCTGATAGGTATATTGCTGAATCACTATCTTGGAGTATTTTTATATTAAAGGTTACTGCTTCTGTCTTTGATCTGGGCGGAATTCTGTACTCATGGGGTACATAAATGAAGGAAAAATCAAGATATCCAAGGTCCCAACAAAGAAAAACAGAACAGGAAAAAAAAAACCCAACAAAACCCTATGGAGCCAGAGGTTTATATGTAAAAATTTTAGTTCTTCAGTATGTCAGTATTGATTTGTATAATCTTCACACTCTTTGATCTAGTATCTCTCATTTGATAATCTAACCTAATAAAACAACACTGCAAACATCACCACCAGAAACTTTTATTGCAGCCATAACTGTAATAGCAAAAAACTAAATAAAATGAAAGAGGGGGCGGGGGAAGGCTAAATGTCCAAAAATAGGATTGGCCAAGTAAATTACAGTTTAAAGTCAGCGGGATATTACATCGCCATTAAGCTGTTTACCATGAAGGCAGTTCAATAGTCAGTGCACAAAAGGGGAAGGGGAGGGGCTGAGGTTGCGGAGGGAGGAGGGAGGTGGACGGTAAGCTGGCTCATTTGGTGTTGGAGATAGAAGGGGAAGGTAGTTGGTGTTGACTGGTAGACGGCCTTGAGGCCTCTGATCAGAGGTTTGGGATCCTGTAGGAACAGGTAGGTGTGTCTGATTCTGCAGCACCCTTCTGCAAACCCAATTCTTACTGTTAGCAGCGGCGGAGAGGGAGCTGGTAGCTATAGTGAACCCAGACATGGAGGAGCCAGAGCGTGAGGCTGGCTAAGGGCAACAGAAGGTATAGATCTTGCTGGTGAAGATTGGTATTGGATGTCGAAAATGAAGAGCTAGGGAGAGTAAGATTTTTAAAACTCAAAGTTAGATTAAAAAAAGAAATTCTTGCTAATGGAGATATCGGGATAATGCTGACCTGTGGCTATAAATCAACTTGGATTGAGAGTCATATAAATTTATGAAAATTAGGGCCATTATTTACTGAGAATTTACTATGTGCTTGGAGTTGTACTAAGTAACACCCCCCTCCCTTTCTTGAGTAGTAGTTAAAAGAACCCTGAGGACTAGTTGCTATGAACCTCATCTTACAGATGAGAAAACTGGTCTACCTGGGGTTCTTTACCAGCTGGGCAATCAATGATGTTGCTACTTGCACAGGAGGGGAAGTGGTTGCTATATCTGAGCACATAATCTGAAAAAATCAACTTGACAATTGTTTTCTAGGCTAAGATTTTTGAGGAAGCAAATTGAACATAAGTACAGTTTGTTTACTCAACTTGAGATAAAAACATTAGCAGCCAGAGTGTGAGATATGCAGACTAGGGTCAAAGGGAGGTTGGTGGTTGTTTTATTTTTTTCCAACATGCTCTACCCAGACCCAGGTCCTATCAGTGTTTCAGGGGAGGTCAGTAGCTCTGGCTGTGAGTAGGTGTGTCCCCTCTAGAAACATACAGATCTGAATAGTATGACCAGACAGGAAATAGTATGACCAGACAGTAGGTGTGTCCCCTCTACAAACATACAGATCCGAATAGTATGACCAGACAGGAAATAAAAGTACAGAGAAGGTAGCCAGCAATTGGGCAGGTTCTTGCTACCATGAATATTGATACAAACAGAATCCAATGGATTGCCCCAGATTGCTCAATTTTATTGCTCACAATTTGTTAGGAAGGATTATGTTAACTGTTTTTCCTAAAATATTTCAGAGATGTGTTCTACGAGAAACCAACATGACTTCCCGCTATGAAAAAGAGTTCATGGAGGTAGAAAAAATTGGGGTTGGGGAATTTGGTACAGTCTACAAGTGCATTAAGAGGCTGGATGGATGTGTTTATGCAATAAAACGCTCCACAGAATCCTTTACAGACTTATCAAACGAGTGAGTACCTTTGAAATGTGCAAGAAACACAAATTTGGATTTGGGAAGATTTTTTTGTCAAAATATTTTAAATAATGGCACTGTTATTAAAAACATTTGCTGCTTTTAAAAATCCCCCCACCTCCTCCCTTGTATGTTGTCTCACATCTGTAACCTTTCTGAGTTTTCCAGATCAGAGATGGGTTATTTCCTAAAATACGCCAGGATCACTTCGGGTCATTTTGTGGTGTGTATGTGCATGCGCAGGTGTGTGGTTTCTGTGGCTTTTACTGCTGGTCTTACTGCTTTTTGAAAATTAATAGATTTATGGCATGATCTTAAAGTGTTTGTTTATTCATCAGAAATATTGCCAAGTAGGGCATTATTGTTAACTCCCTGGTTCGTTTCTATTTTATACTAATAATGAACTCAATAGCCAAGTTTCAAGGACGACAAGCAAGAAAAAATTAACAGAAATTTAAATTTCATCCCCAGAAGTAATTGTTCTTCCTTTTCACAAGTAAAACAAACATTTTCAGACTCAGTCAAAGCTTTTTATGAACGGTGGGGATATAATACTTAAGCTGAATCTGAAATTTTAGATTTTGGAATTCTTCATTTTTATACTGAAACTTCCCAAGTACTATATTTTGCTTTTCTTCTGTTGGATTTCCTATTCCACAATAAATCTCTCTCTCCAAGACTGTCCTCATGACTACATATTGACCAAATTTAATTTTGACTCTGACTGGCCTTCATAGAGAAGATGGAGGGCCCACGACAATATCCACAGCCAAGTCCACGGTGGCCTTCCTGTGAAGCCCATCAAGGTATTTTGATTACGATCCAGTGAAATAATGATCCAAGGTGCATCTGCTGTTGAGGTGGCACCACCTAAGTCTCCTCTTTACTTATGCCTTGTTTGGTCAGAAACCATGGACTTTGGTACCAAGATGACCAAGATTCTGGGCCAGTCCCTGAACTTTCTAAAGGCTTTGTCCTTGCCACCGTATCTCACTGGTAGTTACAGAAATTAGAGATAAAATAGTAAGCAAGCAGTGAGTATTCAATAAATGTTCTGACATTGTTAATAATGCTTCATGTCTTGTCTTTTAAAAACACTTTCCTGTATGTTACCTTCGTTAATTTGTCTCAATGCTTTTCTGTCTCAGGAATTCGGCTTTGCGCGAAGTTTATGCTCACGCCGTGCTTGGTCATCACCCCCATGTGGTACGTTACTATTCTGCCTGGGTAGAAAACGACCACATAATCATTCAGAATGAATACTGCAATGGTAAGCATGTAGACTAATATCGACGGAGAGGGAGGTGAACTTTTAAGTCTTCAGAAAAAAAAGTCTTTGCTTCTTCCTTGTAGTTTATGCCAGGTTTGGCAGAGGCATACCTACATGTCTGCTCCACAGCTTTGCTTGGAAGCAGAGAGCTGGGGGACATGAGCTGAGTCGAACAGAGATTTCAGGTTTATGCTCTTCCATGTTTCTCTTGAAGTTGATGAGTAGCTGATATATAGAAGCTATCACTCCCTTCACATTTTACGTAACACAGAGAGAGAACGTTGACCCCCTGTGTTTGAATGGTAAATAGTCTTTTTACCATTTGCTAGGTATTCTAAAAGTGCAGGCATAGTCCCTACCGTTTGCGGGGGGGGGGGGGGGGGGAGGAAGTGGTAAGTTTACACAGCCAACTTTGATTACTTTTCAAGTGGACTCCTGGGTTTGGGGATTGATCCTGTTTCCTGCGGCTGCTTTCCTTTGAGCTTTAGTGTTTTCACCAGAGTAAGGGCATGGGGTGAGGGGCTGGGACTGAAAGTCGGGGACTCCAGAGCCATTCTCTGAGGCCCTTCAGGACCATATGTACACGGTACCCAGCAGAACTTCCTCTGGGCTTCTGAAGTCACAGAGTGGTCTTCTGGTTTAACGTATTCCTAATCCATGATGAAGGGGCTGACATAACAGCGGCTATGTGTTGTTGTTCCCGGAGATACTTCGCATCAGAAAGGTCAGTGGTAAAGTATAAAAGTACTCCCATATTGAATGGAAGCTGGCCATCATTAGAGGGGTAGCGATCCATATCCCGGCGTGGTAATATCATCGGATAACAGCGCCCCTCTTCCCCAGGCACGCCCCCTTTCCAGTCGCACCTGCCCTGGGTTTCTTTAATAGTACAGCCTGTCCTCCCTGAGCATGTGTGTCCAGCTTGGCTTTTGAGTGCCAGGATCAGTGACAAAGCTTTATCACTGTGTAAATTATTAAATACACAGGTAGATAAGTAAATAGCAGTATGAAATGCTAGAAACCTATAAAATGGTACATATAGCCTGCAAAATCATGATTTGGCATTTTCTTGTTATTGCCTTACAGCCTGGTTTCTTTGTAGTCTTATCTGTGAACTTTGTGGGGTTTTTCCTTCAATAAGCTCACCCCAAACCCCCTTTTCTAAGTCTCTTTGGGATAAAAAAAAATGGACCCCATCTTTATAGTGGGGATTGAAAAGTTGAGACTTCTTATCATCTCCTCTTCCTAATTTCCCTTATCATGGCCCAAGATTCCCTATTCCTTTCCTCTTTCCCTCTGTAAGAATATTGGTTTTATTTCTATGACTTTTAGCTACTAACAAAGAAAGTATCAAACAACAAAAATCAATACAGCAAAACAAGATTGATTTGGGGCAATGTAAAGATTTCAGCATGTCAAAAAAGTGAAATAGATTTTTCCTATTATAACTCATCTTGGAACTCTTTTCAACATTCCAACACCTTCTACAGTCTTGACACTGTATTAAGCTCTTGGTAAGAAATACTGTAGAGTAAGATAAGGTAAGTCCTTATCTTCAAGGAGCTTTATTCTACTTGCTCTGTTACAGTGATTACACAAGAGACAATTAGGGGCAAAGCCAGATGGTACAACTATGGATCAGAGAAGATGAATGTCTGCGAGAGGCACTGTGGAGAAGTGGGAGGGGCCGGGGCTTCGAAGCTGGGCAGACGTGGGGTTGAGGTCCGGCTCTTCTGCACACTAGCTGTAGGATTGCTGGGATGTCCCTTAATCTCACTGAGTTGGGAGACTGCAGTCACTACTTAAGGGGAGTCGTTTGACAATGAGCAACCATCTATGTCAATGCTAGCACAGTGACAATACCTGATACATAGTAAGAAGTCAGAAATAGTTGTTATTAGAGTGGCCTGAGAAAACCTCCTACAGGAAGGAGGCCTTGCAGAAGGTTTACAAGAGTTTACGGAAGGAGATGGGAGGTGTCCAGTCAAGGGGACAGCCTGCGGGCAAAGGGCACGATGGAACTGGCAATGGGTCTGCCCTCGCAGGCAGCAGGGACACGATAGGACAGGAGGACCCCGCAGCAGGAAGTCACAGCAAGGTAAAGGGTGGGAAGGCCAGGGAGGGCATGGAAAGCCAGGCAGTGGGTTTGGACTAGAGATGACAGATGATGGGGAATCACTGTCTGTTCTTCAGGGTGGTCCACTAACTTCACTGAGTACTTACCAATCACAATGTAACTCTGACTTATCCCAGTGTAGTTCACATACATTGAACCTCTCAACTGTGAACTAATCATGGAAAATAAAGCATGCCCTTCTACCTTGTCTTGTCTGTAGCTATGGATAACCCATGTTGAGATGTTGCTCTGTGGCTCTAAATAAAGGATGAGTTCCAAATACGTAGCAGAGTAGCCAGTGCCTCGTTTCTTGTCCTCCCTTCCCTCCCCCGCATCCCCTACCCCCATCCTTCCCTCCTCATGCCCACCCTTCGCCCGGACCCCCAGCCTGCCATAGCGTCAGGCTGGAACACACAGTTATGGCTTTAACTCAGACGATAAATAAGATGATTTAGGTAACTTAGATTTAAATACTTAGATTAGTAGATTACAACTACTAAAGACTAGCAATCACCTGAAATCCCCTATTGTTTCTTCAGAACTCTGAACCAATGAAATGTTCCCTCCCTACCTCCCCACCCCCAACCCCCTACAAGTCACTGAGGGGTCAGCCTTAGCAATCTGAAGTTTTCAATGGCAACCACCGGGATTCTACCTGATTCAGGATTGGATGATGAGTCTCTCCCTACAGGTAGCATCTTCTAGTGACGTCTCCGTCACTGAAGTTTTGCAGAGCATGCTCCTCTAGGGTGGCGGTTCTCACTTTTGTCTGAGTGCTGTGACATCCGGAAGCCAGTGACCCCTGTGAAACACCATGAATATTGGTTATACTTTCTGCCAAACAAGGAGCCCTTTAGCATCAGAAAAAATAAGCTTGTGTTGAAGGTAGCAACATAAAACCAAGATTGTGAGACTACAGGTGTATGAACAAAATATTCTGTTGAATTGTTGGTCTGCGTTTGCTATTTATTACTACTTATTTGTTGTAGTATCTGTTGGCCTCATAAGCAGTAAGGACAACATAGATGTATTTTTCTTAAGGTCCACCCCTCCCCTCCGCCCCCGGCCAAGGAGGGAAGTATCTTTATTTTAACTAAAGGAAGAATTCAGCAACTCATCTCCTGAAGATTGTATGAGAAGAGCTGCCCAGGGCTGGTCGTTCCGTTCCAGGGCACAGAGCTGGCAACCCAGCAGCCATCCCCAGGGGGTGCCTGGGTTACGGAGCTGAGGCTCCAGTGCAGTTAGGTGAGGTTAGCAGGGGTGAAGTTTACTGTCCATTCAGTGTGGCTACCCCTATAAACACATACTTCCTTGTTCAAACATCCAATTTAGTAACGAACAGTTAATTATGCTCTTCTGCAAGAAATGGACAATCAGCTTTAGCTGTAACAAAATAGGGATAATCAAATACCTTTGCATACAGCATACATGGGTACTTTTCAGTAGCTTCTACCATTTTTAATTATTACTTGACTAACTTTAATATTACCTACAGAGCTTTTAAGTATTTACAAGGCCTGCTCACACGGGTCTAGTTACCCTTACTAAGTACCTGCAGTTCTTTAGGGGGTTAGAAATATTTCTGCTTCTAGTTTAAAAGAACATATTAAAAGGCTTCTAAGTACTCCCAGGATGCTTCTTTCTTTCCATACCAATTACAGGACCTGTGACTCAGTCTTTCTCTTCCCTCCGTTGCCAGTGTAGACATTCAGTTCAGAAAGTAGTTTTTGGGTGCCAGACCGTGGGAAAGGGAAGATGCAGTTCAGGCCCCGCCCTAAAGGGACGTCCTTGCCAGGAGAGAAACGAGAGTTCTAGGGGACGGGGCCTGGGCGCAGCCCTCCCTTCCTGTCCCACCTGCAAACTCAGTCTCAAGGTGGCTTCATTTTTAACAAGCTCCAACACATCCTTTCTTTACTTATTCTTCCTTTCTAATTGATGTATAGTACATAAGTTCTTCTGTAAGAAGGTTCCTGGGGATGGGGGTTTGGGTGGGAAACCTTTAGTCCCTCTCTGTGTTTCTGAAAGGGGCTGAGTTCTTTTCCTTTCTGAACGTAATTATTTAAACATGACAGATCACTCTTTAAATTCAGGTTTTCATAGGATACTCTTAAATGTGGATTTCCTTAAAAATCCCACTACCATCTGAGATCCTATTCTGATATGCCCTAGAAGGGCAGAACTATGAGTTTTATAACTGCCAGGGAGACAGAGGACTTCATAATATTAAATGCTAATAATGAAATAAAGGGCTCAGGCACATTCTAATACCTCATAGAAATACAAAATACATTGTTATTCTTGATAAAAATGGTAAATCAGGAGTCTATAGTTGGGGTAAAAAGACTGTGACTCAAATAGGATTTGGGTATATATTGACATTTTATTTTTTCCTTGAGTCAGCAATCCTTAAATGTTCCTATTTCATGATATATTTTTAATGGAATTAAACTTATAATCAACTACATTAAAATTACTAATGGGCTATAATTACTAGATTGACCCTGACATGAAATTAATCATCACACCAATAGCAACTGTGTGACTAATCATGGAAAATAAAGCATGCCCTTCTACCTTGTCTTGTCTGTAGCTATGGGTAACCCATGTTGAGATGTTGCTCTGTGGCTCTAAATAAAGGATGAGTCCAAAATACCTGTAAGGTAGCAGAGTAGCCAGTGCCTCGTTTCTTGTCCTCCCTTCCTTCCCTGATTGGCCTTCTGGTTAATGTTGAGGTGGAACTTGACAAATGTTAGCTGATGTATACTCAAAGCAAGAGGGCCACATATTGGAGATCTGGGACATGGCATCTTTTTTCCCTCTTTAGCTGCCGTGTAATCCTTCTTTCTAACACACCTGGGGTGTAGACAGGGGGAGATAGTATTATGTTTTGTGTTGACATTGGAGTAATCTAGGCCTGCTGGATGGAGCTCATTCACAGGAAATTTATCGATTACCTACTGTGCTTTCATCCGTAAGATTCATACCTTTTCTCTCATTCTGTGGGGCTGCCCTTGGTTGTTCTTTCCTAGGTGGGAGCCTGCAGGCTGCGATATCTGAGAAAACGAGATCTGGCAATCACTTTGAAGAGCCAAAACTCAAGGACATCCTTCTCCAGATTTCCCTGGGGCTTAAGTACATCCACAGCTCCGGCATGGTGCACATGGACATCAAACCGAGTCAGTACGGCTCCCCACGCCCCCTCCGGCCGTATTTAGTTCTCGCGCTCTCTGGTCAGATTCTGTGCCTGTGTGTCTATCCAATGTCAAAGACGCTGCTTGCTGGCGGAATCCTTTCCTTTCACTAGTTTCCCCTAAACAAATGCAGTCAAATGGCTTTCACCATTTTCTCCCTGGGCCCAGGGGCCAGAGGAAGAAAAGACTCTTTTCCAGATAGTGAAACTGAGGTACAAAAATAAGTATTTAATTTACTACATAGGTCCATAGCATATTGGTTACATCCTGTGTTTGCTAGTGCTATATACCATTTCTAATCCACACAGATTGAAGTGGGCAGAAATGAATGGTTTTGGCCCTCATCAATGCGAAGCTCAAGGAAATGTTGTTACTGTATTGTGGTGTTTTTCCCCCCTTATTTCTTTGATTTAAGGCCACCAGCCTCTTCAGAGGATAGGGTTATGTTTGATATCAGTTTCTCTTAGCCAGATATTACATCATCAGTCACTGAGCAAGCTGTTCATAAGTAGTGTGAGAGGGAAGAAGGGAACCTTGTACTGTTGTTACAGTGGCACAAGAGAGGAAGAGATGAGGGTGGTCGTAATGGAAAATCCAGAAAAGCCTTTGGGGTGAAAAAATCTTAGGAATTGTTATTTACGTCAGTTCTGTGTTTTTGCAGGTAACATCTTCATTTGCCATCAGATGCAGAGTGACTCTCTTGAAGTCCAAGAGGAGCTCGAAAATGACACTGATTGGTATCTCTCTGCTAATGTGATATACAAAATTGGTGAGTCTGCCTTGTATCCTGACCTGCATTCTATTATCCTATAAAATTTATACTGATGACTCCATCTAGTTCTGTTGTAAGAAAGCCATGCTTTTAAAGGACTCTATTTCTTTCTTTTTCAGGAGACTTGGGTCTTGCAACATCAATAAGCAAACCCAAAGTGGAAGAGGGAGATATTCACTTCCTGGCTAAAGAGATTTTGCAAGAGGTATAGATTAGGGAAATGGAGGCTATTTCATAACCCACTGAACCTTTTGAGTCTCAAATGAAAAAAAAAAGAGAAGTGTGTATGTATAATTTAAACTCATATCATCCCTTTTCCTATTTAGAATGGAGACCAAAGATAGGAGAGAAATGTTCCCCCAATGGTATGAGGAAAGCTGGCTCATTCATGGGTTGATCAATATTTGCACTGTTCTTTGTAAAGCTTCTGTATGTTTCCAGTATTCCTTAGAATTCCAGAACTCCTGGATTGCCCAGCAGGGAGGAACACTTCATTGGCCCAACCCATCTTTACCATGCTACTTATCCTTTCCATAGCGTACCAGCTCTGGTCCTTGAAAAGGCCTTTAGCCATTGCCCACCTTCTAGGGTGGCTGTGGAGTCAGGCCTGGCCCAGTGGTGTCAATGGGGTGGGCTGTCCTCTGTCCTCTATCTTCCTAGAAGTGAACCATTCACCACAGCGGATGTGACCTTGCCCATTGTGTCTGCTCAAGCTCACACGCAACCAAATGAACCTTTCTTACCAAGCGTCTTTTAGTCTAGACTCACTTCAGCTGGCCTTCCTGTCTTCTGTTTTGAAGGATTATCAGCATCTCCCCAAAGGAGACATATTTGCCTTGGGACTGACAATTGCGGTGGCCGCGGGAGCAGAGTCCTTGCCCAGCAACGGGGCCGTGTGGCATCATATCCGCAAGGGCAACCTTCCACACATTCCTCAGGGGCTCTCAGAAGGATTTCACAGTCTGCTCAAGGTGCTATCTCTCGTGAAACGAAGAGAAGAGGAAATATCTATTTTTTAAAAATATGTAAGGGCAAGCAGGTGGGGGAAGGGAACTGAAGATATTGAAAGTATCTCTGACAGAAGGAAAAGGGGCTCCCGACCAGGAAGATAGCAGAGACAGAGGATGGACTGAGGGCTGCTCAAGGACATTTAGAGACTGTCGTAAAGATCTTGTATGTAGCGGTTTAAACAATCTGGTCACATTTTTTTCATTTGTCTTTCTGAACAAGCCTGTGAGGTGGACAGTTGAGAAAACCAATGCTCACAGCAGTTTCTTGACTTGTATTCCACCTTTGATAACTGATTAATTCCAAAATCAGACCTTGTCTTTTGCTCCTATTTCGGGGTTTTAACCATTGTCAATAGTAACAGTGACATGATTACTAAAAAAAACCCCATGAGTTTTGACATTAACAGAAAAATGGTAACGTCAACTTGGGAATCTATGTGTTCCTTGTACTCAGTGATATCTAAGTATGTGTAGGGACAAGGAAAGGGAAGTATTACATTGAAACATAGAGGGCGAAAAAAAATCTACACTGTCAAGAAGCTTAGAATTATACTAAGAGAACAAACTGAATATTTAAGACTTACTTTAGGGCTTAAGGAACAGGATCTGTTAGGATCCCTAAAACGGCCTTAGAAATATCTATCCTCTTGGAGATTAAATTTGAGTTTCACAGTCTACCTGAAAACTTCAAATTTAGTTACAAACTTGTCTGTCCTCACTTCTGCTTTCCTGAAAGAAGGAGGCAAACCCTTCCTCACAGTGGTCTTTGTTCATAATGTAATCACCTATTTTTATGTGTAAATTGCCCTCCAATTGAGTAGGTAATTACTGAGCACTTCAATTCTGGCCCTGTTCTAGGTGATACACATAAGTTAATTCATTTCATTCTCATGACAGTCTGAAGGTGAATATTGCTGTCCCAAATATCAGGGAAGGGAAGCCGAGTTTCAGCAGTCAAGTGACTTGCTCAAGACTACATAGTAAATGGTGGAGTTGGCTCTAAACATTGGTCCCTAAATGGAAAGTTCAGTGTTTTCTTCATTATATGACACTGCTAATTGCTGTATATAATTAGGTATTTTCTACTGTAGTTAAGTCTTTTTAGGTTACAGACCCCCACCCTGAAGAAAAGTGCTGTAGGAATATTGTCATGGTGCGGTATCCTTAAATAATTTTAAGTGAAAAAGGAGCATGCTGTGGTAGCAAGTAAACCGAACGAGGAGCTGGGCAACCTGGATTTTAGTCTTGGTCCCATCAACGACTTAGACAAATCACTTTTTATTTCAGGGCCCATTTCTTCTTGTTTAAAATTAAGGCATCAGGCCAAGTTAATCATCCAACTAGCTCTAAACCACGATACTTAAAGCGAAGTCCGAGGTCCCGATGACCGATGCTACCAGATGGGGTCGATAGCCTGTCCCAGGCGGAGCTAAGTTTTCATCTGTTTCTTCCCTCCGCACAAAGGAGAAGCAGAGTTTCACCAAATCCACCAGCAGAAGCTGGCTCGGAGTTGGCCTGGGTGGGGAGATTTCCTCCACAGTGAAGCTTCTATTTCCTTCGGTCATCAGAGTATGATCCACCCTGACCCGCGGGAGAGGCCCTCCGCAGCAGCTCTGGCTAGAAGCCCCGTTCTCCGTCCCTCCCTGGGGAAGGCAGAAGAGCTCCAGCAGCAGCTTACCTTGGAAAGGATGAAGACAGCCAAACTGGAAAGGTAGACGTTGGATACTGTAGTTGGGAAAGAACCTATCTGTGTACTACTCGTACTGATATGACTGGTGTACCTTCTCTATGGATTCAAGGAGAGCCCAACGTTATAACGCATAGGTGTCTGCCCAGAAAGAGATGAGCAGCGGGAGGCCCTCTGCAGCATGGGGCTGGAGGCTCCGTGACTGAGAGAAAGTTCAGTAACACAAAGGAAGCAGAGTGGGGAATACAACTGGTAAAGAAAACTTAGGAGGATGCTGAGTGACAACAGGTGTTCAAGAAACTGGTGGATGACCTCCCAATGCAAGGGAACCCTGGTTAAGGCAGGAAGAGACCGATTTTAGCATTCCATTAAATTTCAGGGGCAGGCGGATATTCCCTGTTGGTACATGCCCTTCCAAACATGTTTTGGTTTGGAAGAGGTACTTTTCAAAATGAAAAGAAGCAGTCTGGTTACTTATTCATATTAGCTTGTATGCATGTGTGCATTCATTCATTGATCTATTCCTTCATGAAACAAAGGATCTGTTTGATCTATTAATTAGATGGGGTGGGGCTGGTATAAAGGTCAGACAGTGGTGTTTGAGCAGAGTGCTGAAGGAGTTTTAAAGTGATTATTCTATTCACTGTACCCTACTGAAAATATAAAAGATGAAAAATGGTTCATGTGTAAAATAAACTTAGAAGTCCAATTGTTGGATACACAATTCTTCTTAGAATCATTAACTTGAAAAGGCCCCAAAATGATTTCTTGGCAATGACTTGTGGAGACTCTAAGCTTGTAGTCAGGTAACTCTTCCTAATATGCAACTTAATCTTTTTGCTCTAGTTCTGGATTCCATTTTCCTAGTTAATAAACAAAAGACACACACACACACACTCTCTCTCTCTCTTTCTCCTCCCTTCTCTCCCCCACCTCCAGGAATGTGAGTTTTCCTTCAGGTGTGCTGTGTACATTCTGTGAAGCCAGCTATACGCGCACAGGTGACTGTTATCAGCAATTACCAGCAATGAACTCCAGTAATAGAGAAGGGGCAGATGCCTTCTTGAAATTGTCTAGACCAGGGGTGGCAAGCTTTCCCATAGAGAGCTAGACAGTACATATTTTACACCTTGTGGGCTTTTTGATCTTTGCTGCCCCGGCTCATCTCGGCTGCAGTAATGCGAAAGCAGCCATCGGCAACATAAATGAATGTGTATGGCTAAGTTTTCTGATAAGACTTCATTAACAAAAGCAGGTGGCTGGCCAGGTGTGGCCCATGGGCTGTGAGGCCCTGCTTTCAAATACAGCCTGTAGAGTTATTCCCCCCCAACTTTTTTTTTTAATTTTAAAGACCATTTATGCCCCCATCAATAGCATTTAGGAAACAAACCAGGTGTGTATTGCGACAATTACCTGTGCACTGGCCATTTCCTAAGACAACCACAGGAGCGGGTTTTCTATTTTGTGAACAGCTCAGGCTTGCTTCTATAAATACTGAAGTAAAAAAAGAAATATCTATGTGTATGTTATTGTTGATCATAAATATCTCTAATTTAGGACGGAGTAACATGTTTTTCCTCTTTCATTGCCAGGGAGCTGAGGGAAGCCCAGCAGGCCCTGTTCCCCCAGGAAGGCCATAGTGACCCTGTGGACTTGGGGACCCCCACAGGGTCAAGCACCAAGCGCCTGGTGGGAGGAAAGAGCGCAAAGTCTTCAAGCTTCACCTACGGGAATTCTTCCCCATAGAGCTCACTTCACTCCAACCCACAGTAAATACTGACCGTGCTGAACTTCCTCTTGTAGATGGAAAGATTAACCAACTTGAATGCCCAAAGATGTCAAAAGTATTCCTAATTTAGCACTTATAGCCAAGATCCTAAAGCTATTGAGGCCTCCTATCGCAATGGTCTCAGGTACAATAATCTTCTCTATCATTATATTCCTAACACCACCCTTGCATAATTCATTTCTTATATTCATTGGGCACAAGGGGAAAGCGTGGGCTTCTGAACTGATGGAAGAGGAGGAATCAGCCCTCGCTGCAGCCTATGGACTAAGATGTTGCTCTAGTTAATTAATTACCTAGGAAGGATCCCAGGGACTCGCCCTGAATGTAGAAGAAAATACAACCTTGTTTTGAGTTGAGATATCAGCTTACAAGAAAATGCACCTGGATTTCAACAAATGTTTCCTAGGTTATATGAATTCTCAGCCACCTTATTTTTCCTTCTGTATTCTCTGAATGGAGACAATCTCTCTCTCTCTAATATTGTATTTATTAAATATAAATGACTTCACCATTCCTTGAGGTGAGTAAAAATAAGACTGTATGTAATTTGAAATTTCTGAGCTGAGTAATTTGACGGGATGAAATTACTGGGTAGAGGGGATGAGGGAAACTCGATGTGATTGTTCTTCCCCAGTCTGTTTGCCTGGATCCTCTTGTAACTGTTATGACTGGTTTTGATTTTTTTGCATGACACCAATTTCTCCTTGATTTTATCAAAATTTGGCTTCGTTTCCAGTGATTTCTATCACATTTTATCAAAATCCTTTTCTCTGTATATATTTTTAAAGGAATAGAATATTTGTAAATAAAGGTTTTTATCTTGTCCAAAGCCAAATACGGGTAAAGCACTCTTGTTTGTAATATGTAACTAACAAAAAATGGGAAACTTATGTTGGAAACCATTTCATGAGTAGATGGGTGAGAGAATTCAGTAGGCTTCTAATAATGGACCTTGGCTTCGTGGTCCAGCCTCACAGGCCAAAAGCTTATAATGGCCAGTCTGTGATATAAAACAATGTTGGTGATTAAGGCATTTGATAATTATATCACATTAATAAAGGTAGTCTATAAATGGTTTCTAAGGGTTTTTTTCTGCCTTATTTTCTTCTTTTCCCTGATTTTTTAATTGAATAAACCATCATATTTTTTTTCTTTTGTCTTAGAGTAGCAATTCTTTCCATCCAATTAAGGAGAGGTATAGTGTTCTGTATGGTCCATTGTCATTTTTTAAAACCAATCTTTATCCAAGATTTTAAAATGGAGTTAATTTATCTCTTGCCTCTCCCAACCCAGCTGTATCCTTTGCAGTACAGTACAAGGTCAACCACAATTTGTGATTTACAGACAGGTAGATTAAGAGTATGCAATGTATAGACTAGAATTTTTTGCTTATACTTGTCTTCTCAGCCAATGACAATTACTACTATTAGGGACTGTAATGTCTTCTCTACCTTGTTCCTACCATGACACCTAAATACACGTAGTGTCAGACTATTGATTTCTCTCCCTCTCTCTTTTGCTGGTCTCCACGGGGCAGGAAGTCATCAAAAAAGCAGGTAGCTGCACAGACACTGCTGGGTGTAGAAGAGACTGGGTCTATTTTCAACTTGCATGGTACTTTCTGTTGTTGTTGTTTTTAAACCAACCTTTTACCTGCTTCTCACCCTAAAGTACTTGTGAATACAAAGAAAGAGGGAGAGATTAGTGGTATAATGAAGAAAGAAATTTTAGGACCAAATGATTGGATATGGATGGGTAGATGTAGGTGATCAGGGAGAAGTTTTAAAGATAATTTCAAAGTTCAAGCCTGGGAGAATCTTGGTACCATTAACAGAAACTAGGAGCTTAGGGGGAATATCGTCTTTGAAGGAAAAGACAAATTTCGTTTTTCATTTCACTCAACATCGCAAGTAGGAGGATTTTAAAATAGGAAATCACTGAAAGGCACTGATGGTAGTGATTTAGTGGGTGTAATGTAGAATGATTAGTACTCGTACAAGGTCTAAAGGCAGTATAATAAAATGGAATAAACACTGCTAAAGGAGTCCCTTAAAATAGTCAGGAGGCTATTAAGGAAGTGAGGTACACCTTGTGCCACAGTTGTCAGAGCTGCTATTAAGTTGCTAAACCTGCTGTTAAGCTCAGCTCAAGGCCCAGCCATAAACATCCTGGAACAACTGCTGCTACCTGGACTTTTATGGACCTTCCTTCCCTGTACTTTCATCCCCTCATTTGCATACCGGAATCAACCAATCCTTGTTAAGCTAGCCAGCAATCCTTCACTTGCTTGAAAGAATGACATTTCCTGGGTTTTTCCTTTATACACCCTGCCTGCCTTTGTTCTTCTCTCCAGAGTGCAGCTGGGTTGCTTCCTGAATCTTCCTCGTTTGGATCTGAATCCTTCAATACTCCAAATAAACTTCTAATTTGTTTTACAGACTCAAATCTTTATTGGTTAACAATGGTGTTTCAGGAACTAAACATTGTGAAGGTGGAAATAAAATGGAGCTAAGCAGCTAAAAATACACTGCGAATGAAAAGGGGACTGTGCAATAAAACCAACAAGCCTGGTGAAAGCAGGTGGCGGGGCGGTGGGGGGTGGGGGCACACAGCAGGCCTGACAAGCTCTGTGACCCAAAGTGACCCCACAGGATGGTCTGATCACAAATTCTTCCCTGGGCCTCTGAGGCCATTAGCAAAGATCAGTCTTTAAGTGAGCTCTCTCTATTGTTCCTATGCGACTAGGATAACGTACCTTTGAAACGTCAGAGTACATTTCCTTTTCCTGTGTCTGGAAGACACAGCCATTAGCACCAGAGTGTGAGACCACAGAACCCCTCATTGTTATCTTGTTCCCTGCAACCATCTCTATGTGCTGAAAGTGTTAATCACTACTATTCTGTACCCACCAAGGCAAAAGAAGTTTCTTCATTTTGCCTTTTATCCAAGCCTAGAGATTTCCTGCCCCCTCCCCATGCTTTCTCCCACCTCCTTAATCTACCATCAGTGAATTTCATGCATCTTCCTTAGGTCTTCTTCTTTGATTCTAATGTATAAATTAAGTCGCAAAACTGCCATTCTGCGGAGCATTTGACATCTTTCTTCCCAGCATATGTCATCAGTTTGGCTCAATAAACTCATACGAAATTTTCTACAGGTTTGGACATTTTATGTCAACAATACCAACCAGTCAGTCAGACTGTTAAGAGCAGGTCAAAGTGTGTGTTGGAAACCATGTTAAGCAGTTAATGGTTTTTCCTTCAAGGGCAAGGATGGACATTGAAACGATTTAAGTTGGGTCCTGAGGAAATCTGCAAGTTAGAATCATCTGGAGAGTACCTTCCATTTCTAGAAGCTGGCCAGTGCCAGGACCAGGATAAAGGGGAGACCCCCTCCGGCTTTTATTCTGCAATCTGTGGGGCTTCCGACCCTTATTCATTACCAGGGCCAAGATTAGGGTGAATGAGGCAAAATTTAAGGGGTGCCAAAAACTCAGCCATCAAGATTAATGATACTTTAATGCAATATTTTTAAAATATTAAACAATAAAAATACCCATGATGAACAAAATACCAGAATTTTAAATAAAGACAAAGTCTGTAAACTGAAGTTAATTAAAATTACTTAAGATGGCCACTTGGTCAAGAAAAGTTGTCAGACATGGCAAGTCTTGCAATTGGAAATAAGAAATAGGTCTTGAAAATATTATCAACCAGTGTGCATCCATTAAAGCCAGGAAAAGTATAATTATCATAAAGTGTTTTCAGTATAAATATTTAAACTTAAAACAATATTGTGAGTTTTAATACAACTGCTTTTCAGATATTCAATATTTTGTCAAGTAATTTAATGTCCTGGAAAACAACTTTTTTAAATACATAAAAATATACAGGTGCATATTTTTTCCATGTGCCTCAGAATCTAATATGGCTCGGATCTTGTATTTAATTAAAATTCTAATTTTTTTATTCGGCACGAATTTTTTTGCATACTTTTGGCTTTTTTAAACGTTGCCTTAAAATATTTACATTGATTGCCAATTTTTTGGCGTCTCTCTATTTTGCACTCTCAGTTCTATGCCCACTCGTTTTTGTTTTTGTTTTTGTTTTTACCTGTTTTAGGACGTCTGGACCTTTCCAGTGTTTGCCAGAGGCCGAGCTATCCTTTGTGTCGCCTACCTCGCCCCCTCCTGGAACCGGTTGGGAATTTCGTTTCATTAGAAACTTGAAATTAGCCCCACTCACCACTTGGCGGAGTTGACGGCTCTGCTCCTGCCTGAGAAGAGCTCCCGGAACTAACTCGTTAAGGGGGCGTGTTTCCCTAGGCGACGGCCGGTAGCGTTTCTACTACGCACGGCACGGACTTTCCGGTTACTCCTTCCTCTCCCGAGTCTTGCGTCACGGCTGCGCCGGGGAGCGAACCTCCTGTCTCGGGGCTGTCCGGCTGAAGCGTACGGTGAGGGCAGGAGGAAGGCGTGAACTCTGTGATGGGTGTTCGCGCGGCCCTCCGTAGGTCGGAGGGGGTGCTGTCGGTGTCTTTTCTCGCGTGAGGAGGACGTCGCGGTTTCCTCTCACGTCTCAGCCCCTCTACGCCGTTGGTTGAGAGCGCCAAGTTGAGGAAGGGCGCCTGCCCATCCTGGCGGCGAGGCCGGGGAGCCCAGGAATCTCCTTAGTCTTTGCTAACAGGGATGGAGGCAGTAATTTTTGCAGCAACAAGTTCCAGATTTAAGTCCCTTGATGACATTGTAATATGCATAGAGCCCTTCCGATGTGTTAGGAACTGTTTCAGATGAATTAGATTTGGCAGTGAGTAAATCCGACAAAAATCCCTGCCCTCCGGGAGTTTGCCTTTTAATAAAATTTGAAAGGACAGTGGAATGGAAATGGAGATACATAGAATAAGAATTTTTGTATGAGTGGGAGGACGAGGAAGCCGGGGGAGGGGTCAAGAAGATACAGGTGTTAGGTTTTGTTGGGGAGGAACCCTCTCCAAATGTGCAGGGATGTTGATATGTTATGGTCATGAGGCGGATTGTATAAAAATGAGGATTGCAGTTAGGAATTCAGGATTAGTGAATTTGTGCTCTTGCTATGAGAGGTCATATTAATTTCTCTCTCTCTCTTTCCCCCCTCAGGAAAAGACTAAAGATTAGATTGTAGGAAAAGAAAAACAGAAGCAATGTTTCGAAGACCTGTATTACAGGTAATCACTTTTCCACATCAGTGGCGAGATGTGTCATTATCAGCCTTTGTGATTAGATTTCTTTACGCTTTTGACTGCAGAAGTAGAAGACCTTTGAGCCCACCCACTTTATGTGTACTTGGTTTTTTTTTCCTTTTTTTTTTTATTGTGGTTCAAGTACAGTTGTCTCCATTTTCCAGCCACCACTGTCCCCTGCCCCTCTCCCTCAATCCCAGCCCCCTTTGGCTTTGTCCATGGGTCCTTTATACATGTTCCTTGACCACCTGACTCCTGTCCCCCATTACACCCCTCCCCGCTCTGGTTACTGTCAGTTTGTTTTTTATTTCAGTGTTGCTGGTTATATTTTCCTTGCTTGCTTGTTTTGTTGATTAGGTTCCACTTACAGGTGAGATCATATGGTATTTGCCTTTCGCCGCTTGGCTTATTTCACTTAGCGTAATGCTCTCCAGTTCCATCTGTGCTTTTGTGAAGGGTAGGAGCTCCTTCTGTCTTTCTTGCGTTGTATTCCATCGTGTAAATGTACCACAGTTTTTTGATCCACCCGTTTACTGACAGACCCTTAGGTTGCTTCAAGCGCTTGGCTATTGTAAATTGTGCTGCTGTGAACATTGGGGCTCATGGGTTCCCTTGAACTGGTGTTTATGTGTACTTATTTGATGTGGAGGGTCTTGATTTTTGTGTACCCAAAACGAAACCTACTATTGTGTAAGATGAGCCAGCCTGGCTCACCTGAGTACTCAAATTAGTACTCTCTAGAATTATGATGCAGATACTAGTTGGCAGTTTGATTCTTTAGTATATTCTGACTCTCATCTTTATTTTCTTGTCCACCTTTGGCCCCAAAACATAGTGGTAGGCTTCGATAGCCAACAGTACCCCAGAGATGGTTGTTCATTTGATTGGCGGACATTTGTTTTATATATTAACAGTGCTGCCACTTGGCGCATGGGGTACCTTTGATGTAACGGTTTAGCACTCCGAACCCAGCGGTGTGCCAGGCGACCTCTACTCATCTTAGCAGTAACCCGGAAACAGAGTGTCTTCACTGAGGCGGCAGAGGGCGTTGGGAAGAGCAGCAGCCCTGGTGTTGGAAGGTTCTGGGTTCTAGGCATGACTTGCCACGTGCTTCAGGTTGGATTTTGGGCAAGTTACTTAGTCTCCCAGAACTTAATTTTTTTCATCTCTAAAGTGGGGATAATGTTGCATAGTTTAATGATTTATTCTAAAGATTAATTGATAAGAGCTAAAATGCTTAGTTGATATTGAGTCATGATAGCTGTTATTATCGTTGAGTGCTGCTGGACAGTCATACCTTTGGAATTTTTCAAAGAACCAAATATGTTTATCTTAGGCTTTTTTCTTTGGCCAATTGAAAGCGTGCATTTTTCCAGCATGTATTGAATTTTACCTTCTGTATGAGGCCACAGAAGCACCATAATCAGGAGAGGTCTAGGAGAAGGTTACAAGTTAACTTTCTTGGGCATGCTCTCTAGTGCCCCTTTTGAATTGAGTTGGCCAAAAAATTCGTTTGATTTTTTTCTGTAAAATGGCTGTGGTAGCACTTAGTTGTCTTTAACTTCATTCAAAACAGTATCATTAGATTGTATTGTGACAGCTGTCATACCAGCGTGCATTTAAAGAAAACATCAAAGTTGGTGAATTTTGGTGTAGCCATTTTAATATTGAAGATGGAAGAAAATAACACATTTTCAGCATGTTATTCAGGAAAGGTAAAAACGCAACTGAAATGCGGAAGATTTGTGCAATGTGTGGAGAAGGTGCTGTGACTGATCAATAGTGTCAAAAGTGTTTTTGCGAAGTTTCGTGTTGGAGATTGTCTCTGGATGATGCTTCACGGTCAGGTGGACCAATTGAAATTGATAGTGATCAAATCGAGACATTAATTGAGAACAGTCAACATTATACCACGTGGGAAATAACCAACATACTCAGAATATTCAAATCAATAGTTATTGGTGAAAATAAAGAATGTCGTCTATATTACGGAAAAAACGAAATAGACTTTTTGGCCAACCCAGTACCTTTGGGCGTCTGTAGTAGGCTGCCTGTAAGTGGCGCATGGCCCTTCTGGCACTGTGTGATGAGGCAGCATGGGAAATGTGCGTCTTTTGCCTTCGGTGGAGGTATGCTATAGGAGCAGCCAACTAGATGGTGACCAAATGCGAGTAGGTCTCCTGTTTGTGTTTGCCTTTCCCCCAAAATTCCAAAAGATTATAGCCATTTTATTCATTTGTGAATATTATGCCATTCATTCATTCATTCATTCATTTATTCATTTGTTCCACTTCAGGTGTTTCATCAATTTGTAAGACATGAGTCCGAAACAGTAAGCAGCTTGGTCCTTGAAAGATGTAAGTAGTAGCTAAGTTCCAAATTTAAAGCATGCTCTCTATAGCAGTATGCTAATATTTTTCTCATATGTGTTGCAGAAGTGCATTGGTTGGGTTATGATCTGTTGGTCATCATGCCTTTGGCTCACATTTGCCTCTCACATCCTGGCCTTGTCCCATCAGGCTGCAGGGCCTAGTATAAATTGCGCCCTTCTGTTTTCAGTCAGTTTTTACTCTCTCGTCACTTTCCTGCCATAGAATTTTTTGAGTCGTATTTGATTGTCCAACTTTTCTAAAGTTATGTGCTATTTGGCCAAAGGACTGAAAGTTTGTGAAACCTGTTGTTTCACAGAAACATTTTCTTGTATTTATAAAGATTTTCAGATCTCAGATTTTTTTTTTTTTACTGAGACAGTTTTTTTTTTAAAGAAGAATTTAAGATAAAGAGCTTAATAATTGTTTTGTGGGGCTGCTCTGAGAATATTTTCTCCTTTCTTGCCAACCCTGGTTTCCTCGTAGTCTCATTGTTTTCCGCTTCAACTGATTTTCCTCTTCTGGACATTTCTCTCAATCTCATTTTACCTATGCATTGCGTTTCAGCTCTGAATCGTGTGCAGTTACTTGGACGAGTCGGTCAGGACCCTGTCATGAGGCAGGCAGAAGGGAAAAACCCAGTCACGATATTTTCTTTAGCAACAAATGAGATGTGGAAATCAGGAGAAAATGAAACATACCAAATGGGTGAGTATAAAAGACTGGGTTGTCAATTTTATCAGCAGTACATAGGCATTGTTTACTTTCAGTTCTCTAACGAGAGATTAGCTACTTTTAGAGAGGACCTTTCTTCTCTAACTTTGTTCTGTCTTCTTGGACACTGGGACATTGGTTTTGCTGGGCATGTGTCCTTTGTCTGCTGGCATTTGTAACCCTGTTTCCTATTCTTGTGGTTTAGGTGATGTCAGTCAAAAGACGACGTGGCACAGAATTTCAGTATTCCGACCAGGCCTCAGAGATGTGGCGTATCAGTATGTGAAAAAGGGGTAAGTTGAGGCAAGAAGAACCTTACAACTTGAAGAATTTAAAAACTGATAAGTATTCTCATGGAATGTATAACTCCTTTGTTCCTGAGTACACTAATTCTATTAACTTGAGATACGTATTCAGTGCTTAGTACTATATGCATGTGCTGCTTTGTGTGAAAAGGTGTATAACTGGGTTAGTCTTCTAAGAACTTAAAGTTTAGGGGAAGTGGAGTGTGTACATATATAGAGAGAAGCAGAGGAGACTAGAGGGATGGCAGTGTAGCAAGTGCCTTGTGCAGCCCAGTTTTGAGGAGTCCCCATGCTGCCACAGCCGGGGGTCCTGACGGTGTTGGTGTGTGTTTTGTCTGCCACATGAGGACCCTGACAAAGGATCAGGGATGCGTGAAGCCTGACACAGTGACGTATTATGGTCATGTTCACATCAGTTATTTTATGGTTGACAACTTTATATAGGCTTCATAGGTCTCTTTTGGAATGCTTAGTTGATTATGTATAAAAAGTGTTTTTTCCAAACCGACAGGCCAAAAGGGTGTGTTAACAGCTGTTGTATTCGCAGTTAATATATTTCATGAAAAATAATTTCAGCAGTGCCTACAATTTGATTTTCTTTTCAATAACTGCACACCTTTTCTTCATATCTACTTCTGTTGTCCTTATATGTATGTATGAATGTGCATATATACACACAAACATGTAGGACATTTCAAGGAAAATGTCAATGTGCAGTTTCACCTACTGGTTGTTACGATTGTCTTCTAGCTCAGCCTACTAGATTGTGCAGAAATAGTCTTAGTGACTCTGAGTGAAATACTAAGCTGTAAACCTCTATTTAAATTTTAATAATCTAACTCTCTTGAGAATAACTAGGAATTGGGAAATAAGTGAAAACCAAGTCTGTTAGGGAGTCCAAAATCAAGGATCAAGGAAAATGACACATTAGAAATGAATCCTAGATACTTAAAGGCTGTAGCTAAGTTACCCTTCCATTTTCATGGTCTTAATGGTTGCTTTTTCTTTCTTTTAAATTTTTTAGCTTACAATTTTGAAAACAAAATTTTTAAAACTTTTAAAATTTTTATTGTATTTATTTTATATTACCATTTAGTCCCCTTCTTCCCCACTCTCCCCAGCAATCACCACACTGTTGTCCATGTCTATGGGTCCTTTTTCCTTGTTTGCTTAGTCCCTCCACCCCCTTAGCTGTCATCCTGATCTCCATGTGGGAGTCTGTCCCCATTTTCCTTGTTAGTTTAGTTTGGTCATTAGATTCCATATATGAATGAAGTCCTATGGGAGTTGTCTTTCTCTGACTGGCTTACTTCACTTAGCATAATGTTCTCCAGGTCCATCCATACTGTCCCAAAGGGTAAAATTTTCTTCTTTTCTACGGCCAACTAGTGTTCCATTGTGTAAATGTCCCATAATTGTTTTATCCACTCATCTAGTGATGGACACTTGGGCTGCTTCCATATCTTGGCAATTGTAAATAACACTGCAGTGAATATAGAGGTGCTTATGTTCTTTTAAATTAGTGTTTTGGTTTCCTTCGGATATATTCCCAAAAGTGGGGTCACTGGGTTGAAAGGCAGATCCATTTTTAATTTTTTGAGGTATCTCCATACTGCTTCCCAAAGTGGCTGCACCAGTCTGTATTCCTATCAACAGTGCACTAGGGTTCCCCTTTCTCCACATTCTCTCCAGCACTTGTTTTTTGTTGATTTATTAATGATAGCCATTCTGACAGGTGTGAGGCAATATCTTATTCTCTGATGATTAGTAGCGGTGAGCATCTTTTCATATGTCTATTGGCCATCTGTATATCCTCTTTGGGTATTTAAACTTTCTTGTGAACCACAGTCATTTCAAGGACGAAAACATTATCCTTTTTAACTAGATGAGTCAAATCTGTGTGTACATTTTGTGTCACTACTCGTAATTCTGAACTTTGAAAAGCAGTAGCAAAAATGAGGTTATCTGCAATTACCTATTTCATCCTTAGTGTGCTCATTACTGCTTCTCACCTCTCTTGTAGAGCATATTAGAATCTGCAGACTAAAAACTAAATTTTATTTCAGGTCTCGAATTTATGTGGAAGGGAAAGTAGACTACGGTGAATACATGGATAAAAATAATGTGAGGCGACAAGCAACAACAATCATAGCTGGTAAGAATCGTATTTTTTGGGCCATATTTTTACCTCCGAAGGAGCATGCCTGTAACTTAAAAACCACCACCAGCGGATGGCACTGTTGCCTTCATACAGTGTCACAGTTCTGATACTCTTCTGAAATAACTGTTTTGCCCTGGAATATTCTATTTTTGGAAGAATATAGTTATGAACAAATATTCAGTCTTTATTTAATAACTGTTTTTGAATAATTCCAAAGTTAAAAAAACCTGGATCTTTCAGAACTATGTAGGAAGTACTGCTTAATTCTTTTGCTTGTCCTAAACTAACTCTGTCTGGGGCAGTATTTTAAGAGTAATGTCTGATAAAAATGCTCTCTGTAATATTGGTTGGTAAAAATTTTCCAAAGAATGAGTATATGAAAGTTAGTGTTTTAAAATTTAAAAGAAAACGCTTCTATGAGCATTCAAATAAAAACATAAGTGAATCTGTTTTTGCTAACAAGGCCTTGTGTTGAGCCCTGTCCTTCCTCCACACCTCCAGCATTGGAGTGTTGTGCCTCGGTCCTTCGCTGCATGAGGATGTACTGCCTGTTTTAGGGGCATCTATCTGAGCCTTGAAAGCTTCCGGATTTGTGTCTAGTTGCTTGGGAGAAAGGTATTGCTGAGAAGAACTCAGCTATCTTCAGGGAAGATGAGAAATATCTTACCTTTTCTAACAAGGTCTCAATTATTGATCTACAGCTAAAGCCCATCTGTGAGCTTTATCATGCCTGTAGTATATACATCTCGTGAACACAGCAAGAGTTACTTCATATTTTGAGAATTTGTATGGAGTCTTTTTAGTTAAAAGCACTCAAGTATGTATGTCTTTCAGGGGAATGATTAAATGGGATGGAGGAAGAGTTCTGAAAATAATATTTATACTCTGGTTTCTTTACAGATAATATTATATTTCTGAGTGACCAGACAAAAGAGAAGGCATAGTGTGGATCATTCGTCTTTGGCCAGCACTTGGTACAGTCTCATTTCCAAATCATGTATAGTCTTTATAGTTCTAAGGACAATAATTAAAATATTCTTTTATATAAATTGAGTGATAACATTTCTCCTTTCTCCTGCCTGTCATTCCTTGGTCCCTTTTTTGTGCCATCAGCATTGTTAGTCCCTGTCTAGTATGACATTCACTAGTTGTTTATTCTTTTAGGGATGATTTTTATGTACAGGTATTCAAAATAGGGGACTGTCACGTTTATCTGTGCTAGAGCAAAGGGACAAGTGTCCTTTGGGAAGACCCCTTGTTTGTGCACACCTCTGCTACAGTATTCACTCAGCCACTCAGTATTTATTGAGCATCTCTGTACATCAGGCATCTATCTCGCTGTTGTAATTACCTGATTGCTCTGTGGCCTCGAAGACAAGGACTTGATCTTCTCTGTGCTCTTGCACTTTAACCCACGCTTGGCGTAGAGCAGGTCGTGATCCCAGGGATATTAAGCTTTAGCCGGAATTGAAGCGGGTTGCTGAGCAGTTTGGTATCTAACGAAACGGCTTCCAGGCTAACCTACCTTCTTCACATCTTTTGTTCGTGGACAATTTCAGTAGCAGCATTTATGAAATAAAGCTCTCTAACGGTGAAGACCTACACTGTGCCTAGGGGTGATTGTCCTTCTCCAGGTGATGGCACAGGGGCTCTGGTCCTGCCAGTCTCTTTCTTTCTCAGCGGCTGGTCTCTGTCCTTTCAGGCTCGTCCAGAACTTGGGGAGGCTCCCTGCACAACCTCTGACATTGCCTCCCTAGGTTAGTGCCTCAGGTGCGACATTTTCCTTGTATTTCCCTACACGGTCTCTTGATGCACACATGCATACACGTCATTGTGTACACACAGTGACTTTTATTATAAGATACTGTTACTATCTCTGGGTGAGGGGAGGTTTATGTGATTTTCCCTAACACTTTTGTACATCCTGATTTTTTTTTAAAGGATTAAAAGTGTATTATTTTTATAATAAAAACAAATAAACAAAGCTGTTCTCATTTTTGGGGAAAAAAACCTTTCCAAGCCAGACTTGCTGTAGTTGTTATGTATTGGAGGTGAGCAGGTGATCTTCATGTATTTTCCCGGCCATCTGCACCTTGGTATCTCATGCTTAGACACTTCATTCACCTACTTTTTCCTACCCTCTTGTTTTTTTCATTCTCCTCTTAATGTACACCCGGAACGACCGACTCTAAAGACCAACCCATGTGAGATCCACTGTTTGCTGCCAATACAGTTTTCAGCCAGTTATCTGTTTCTTAAATATCACTGGACGATTAATCCAAAGATCTCCAAAAATACCCAGGGCATGCTTGGCTGTTTTGGGGATTCCTTGTCATTGCCACTTTGTAACCCAAAGGCTAGGGTTACAGCTTCGACTTTGCAGCTCCAAAAAAATCAGCGATAGCTTCTTTGTTCGCCAGAAATCAGGCAGTGCTTGTGTATCAGGGTTGCCTTTACCCACATTGCCCTTTGCCCCCATCCAGCTCAGCCTAGCACAGCAGCGTTTCAGGGCATTATGGGTGTTTGTCATGCAGTTGGAGATCACTGACACTCTGAGAGCAGGATCACTTTACTTCGTTTTCTGCCAAGGTCTACGTTACGTGCCATGAAGATGGGTGGGAGCAACAGCAAACAAATTGGAAGGGCGAGATGGTCCCAGGTAATGAGTTGTAATCTCTTATAGTAATTGTATTAATGGCTGGCATTTTTTGTGCCTGCTGTGTGCCCAGCACTAAACTAAGTGCTTTTTATCATTTAACTTTGACCCTAAGAAGAAGGTAGTGTTATCCCCTTTTTACCTGTGAGGAGGAAACCCTAAATAGAGGCTAAGTAGCATAGTGAAGACATGCAGCTTAAAAAAGACAACCTTGAGTTTGAACTTAGGTGTGTGAAGTGTGCATTTTGCTTTCTGCCCACTGCCTGCCTGCGGCCACCCTCCCACTCCCGTTGCTCCTGGTATGGAGACACCCCACAGCGGCCTTCCCCCAGCACCCCATGCTGGGTGCTTCTGAATCTCACGGGGACTTGAACACATAATCGGTGGGGCAAAGTTCATGTGAGGGAGAAACGCCTCTCTCTCTTCATTTGTTCTGATTTTCATTCTGATAACCTACAGGAGAGTAAGTCATAATTTCTCCACCAGGTTATCATTACATATCCCTCTTCTTTTTAATTGAACAGTGCCTCTGTTTAAGATAAGTTTGAGGGTCTGCTCCTCAGTGTTTCTTTCCTACTGAGAGAAGACACTGGCAGGCAGATTGTCCTAGCATTTGTTGGGCTCACTGGAGAATGAGACTCGGCGGGCGTCATCAACCTTTGAGTCCCCCTAACTGCTGTCACTGCCTCTGGCCTGTCCCTCAGTCCGGGACAGGATGGTGTGTAACTGTTCCTGCTGTTGGAATCCTGCAGCCACAGTGATGAAGTTTCTCTTTGTGTCTCTTTACTCTTCATCTTTTGCTCTCCGCAGTGCTTTTGACCCCAGGGTCTTTCTGTCCATAAAGTAAGTACATCTTGGCATTTTCAGTTTTTCGGCCACACCTGTCATTTGGAAAACGGTGGTCTGTTGTGTTTCCCTGCTCTCTTCACCAGCCGAGTGCCCTCTGGTGAGTGTTTTCACTTACCCTGCCTTGGATTTCGTTGTTTTGTTTTCCTGTAAATAGAACAGGGATGGGGTATTATCTACATTGTAGGCCTGGTATGATGAGCACAATAAAAAATATGTGTGGCTCACTTAACGCATAGTGACTGGATCATGTGCTCAGCACACATTGGCTGTTGTTGCTGCTGTAGTTATTTCAAACAAACTCTTCAGTCACCAGGCTGGTGTCATGAATCTCATGGATACTCAGGAGAGCACAGGCATATTAACTTGAGTGTGTTGTACCTGACCTGTTGTTGTTACTAATGCCCGTGGATTACTGAGCACATACTCCCCTCGGGAAATGTTTGGTTGTTTGTTTTTAATCTTTCATGTCTTTTTACAATTAATCTGGGCATCATTTTAAACTCAGAAGTCACTTGGACGCCTGCTGTGTGCCATGCACCCGTACCGGCCTGGCTGCAGGAACGAATATACAGGAGCCCTGCAGTGACAGAGCTCCGATCTGGGATGAGGAGGGTGGGGCGGGGACAATAAACAGGAGCCTGGGCAGCTAAGCGTGACATGGTAGAAATGGAGTCCTGTGCGGAGCGTAGAGGAGCAGAGTTAGGTTAGTTTTTAGCAGAAGAAACGGCATGAACAGCGGTCCAGAAACTTGACAAGATCTGGGAGCTGGGATCTGTGACGACCATGGAGCCACCATGCTGGTCCTGGACAGTCTACCTCTGGACTTCTGGGAGGCACAATAAAGCTACCTTGTTTAAGCCACCTTTTTGTGCTTTGTAGTTAAACTCATTCCTTACGAATTTACACATTTCCACCTTTATTTATATATACATGACCAGCTCTTCGTTCTTATCCTTTCTCTTGGGTGACCTTCTACTGTGAGTAGAAGTGTAATCTCATCTCTGCTCCCACAGCCCTTCAGGCTTTCAAATTCTGTCTCATTTTAAGTTTGGGGAGAGTTCTGGGATGTAAAATGTACACAAAAGCTTAGCAATAGCCTTAAAAAGAGGGAATATCAGCACATTTTTTTCATCAAGTAAGTAGTTTAGCTTTGCTTGTAGTTCCCAGGGAGGACCCTTAATTAAAGTCCCCTGTTAAATAATGGTGCACTTAGGTAAAGAACAGAAGTATTGCCCTTATGCTTCCCCTGGTAGAATGCAGACTAGATCTTTTGGAGTGAGGAGGCATCTCGTCGCAAAATAACTCGATCCCAAGTACAACGTTGTTTTTATTGCATCACTGGTGTCTTAGCGCAGGCTACCATAACAAAATACCGCAGACTGACTGGCTTAAACGAGAGACATTTATTTTCTTACCATTCTGCAGGTTCAAGTCCAAGGTTAGGTGCCAGCATAGTTGGTTTGTGTGGCAAGGCTTGTTTCCTAGCTTGCAGGCGACAGCGATTTTGCCCTGTGCTCACATGGCCTCTTTGTGCATGCAGGCAGAGAGGGGGGCTTCAGCGTGTGGATTTTTTAAAAGATTTTAATTCTTACAGAGAGGGGAAGGGACGGAGAAAAAGGAGAGAAACATCTATGCATGAGGGAATTATCGATCAGTTGCCTCTCACATGCCCCCGTCTAGGAGCCTGGACCACAGCCCAGATATGTGCCCTGACTGGGAAATAAACCAGTGCTTCATTTACTGAGCCACACCAGCCAGGGCCAACTTGCAGATTTTGAGGAGACAGTTTGGTCCATAACACAGCTTGCAGCAAGAAAGGGACATCTCCAAGTGATGAGTTTGAAACTAGGAGCTGAAACTAGAGCAGTAAGAGAGAAACACATGGAAAAAAAGGGAAGTTCCATGTTGACAGGTACTAATCTTGACATTGTGGTTTGGAAATAAAGGTTACGTGTCAAAGGTGTGCCTCAAACATTCTTGAAAGAAGAAGAGAGCATTTAAGTCAGGAACAAGACAAGGATGTCTTGTTATCACCACTTGTTAACCTACTTTACTGAGACTTCAGCAAGCAGAATTGTGGAAGGAAAAAGAAATATTAAGATTGGAAAGGAAACAAAGCTACAAGTGCTGTGATACCACAGAGAACAAAATCTGTAGATGAATAATTAAGCATTGCTGGAAACAAGATCAGTATACAAAAGTCAGTTGCAAGCAACAGCAAAGAAAACGTAATTTCAAAAGGATACCATATACAAGATCATTGGAAAACAAAAGGAGTCTTCCAATGTGTCATCTCTGGAGAACTTTATAACCCTATTGAAATACATTAAAAGACAGTACACTGGTACGCCGTGTTTATAGGAAGTGTCAGTAATGTAAAGATGTCAAGCTTTCCCAGATTGTTGTAGACACATGAAAATGAATAAGAATTCCCAGAAGTGTTCTGGGGGAGCTGGTCACGGTGATTATAAAGATTTAGTGATAAGCAAGGACAGTTTACTCCTGAAGAGGAAGAAT